ACGGATTTTGTCACCCTGTTGGGTAATCTTGTTCAGCAAAGTGTTCACAGCAAGCGCAGAAGCAGGTTCTGGGTTCTTCTCCTGCTTGACTTTCAGGGTAACTGGCGCTGGAGCTGGAGCTGTGGTGCCTGGCTTCCAGTCACTTCCGGTAGCTGCTTTGTAGTCTGCCTTCAAGCTGAGCAGCGTCTTTACTGCAGCATCAACTGTGGCCTTATCGGCTTTAGCTGACTTCAGCTCACGCACTTTGTCGCCCTGGGTAGTAATTTGGCTTAGAATCTGGGACACCGAATCGTTGGCCGTAGCAGCAGGAGCAGGTGATGAAGCTGGTGCGGCAGTGGGAGGTACAGTGCCTGGCTTCCAATCTTGACCGGTGAGAGATTTGTACTGAGCCTTCAGTTCTAAAAGTGTCTTCACAGCGGCGTCGATCTCTGGCTTGGCAGCTTTCTTTCCCTTCAGATCTCTAACCAAATCGCCCTGCCTTACAATGCTAGCATTAACCGAAACGGCGTCGTTGGCAGTGGGAGTAGAAGCGGTCGCAGCAGCGGGTGCTGGAGCTTGACCTGGTTTCCAATCTTTTCCGGTAGCGGTTTTGTAATCCGCCTTCAGGGCAAGCAGCTTCTTTACTGCAGCATCGATTTGATCCTTGGCTGCTTTCTTGGATTTAAGATCACGCACTAGATCGCCCTGTTGCGTTATTTGACTTTCCAATTCGGAAGCTTGGCCGGAGGATTTTGTAGGAGAGGATGCCTTTTTCTGTAAGAAATTAAAAATATATATGCAATAAATAACAAAAGCGTAATTGCTGCAACGTCTTCTTATTTTTTAAAAACTTTTCTGCAACGTCAGCAAGGGCGACAGTGCATTAATCTGCGAGCCCCTCTTTCAATTTGGTGTCTTACTGGAGAAACACAGGCAGGCGATAACGATCCACACGCTTCGTGGTTCAGCATAAAACTGGTTTTGGCCCAAGAAGAAGACTATGGCGAACCAACGCGGCACAAAATAAAGAGTAGGTGGAAGAGCTTCAGAGCGACACGGTTGGAGAGTGAAAAGCATGTGTAAACTCAAACAGCTGATATTGTTCATATAGTGAAATGAATACTTCTATGTCGAACTTTGTATACCCTCTTAAGCAACTTAATTTATAAAAAAAAAATACTTTTTACTATGAAGCGAAAATAAAAATGTAAAACTGTTTCAAGCCAGTTTATAGAAATGATTTTTAGTAACTCACCGTAGCCTTGGCATCCGGCGCATTTATTTTCAGGCCCGAGGTGGGCACATCCTTCGTATGGCCGTCGGGAATGGAGAACAAAACAATGGGCGAGGGGACACTAGTGAAGCCACTGGGTGGAGCATAGGCGTTGTCCACTTTAAAGAAGCCACGCCTCTGCAACTGGATGATATCACCTTTCTTGCATTTCTTCAGCTCAGGATCGCCAAGCATGGCGACCTCATCACGGGTCTTGTGGCCGATGAACTGCTTAAAGTCCTCGTCCTTGCCCAAAACAGCTTTACTAATAATGTTGTCGAAGTAAACGCAGAATGTGGGTGGATAGGCACTGGCATCGTCTTCCACAGCCAGCCAGGTTAACTTGAGGGTCTTCTTGAAGTCCTTGTTGTCCAGGTTGAGTGTAGCATCAACAGAAGTGATGGTTCCCGATGCATCCTTGTTCACCTTCTTGATGAGGATGTTTCCCCAGTTGATGAAGGTGGCGTTTTCACCTTCCTTCAATGCTTCGGCATCCACGTAGTCGATGTAAATCCGGGGACCCAGTAAGACTGTCTTCTTGCCCAGCGATTCATCCTTGGGATGAACGGACACCTGGATCCTTTCCACCTTGGCACCTGCCACATTAACCACAATGCGCTTCTCCTTTTCCAAGGCAGTGTAACGTGGGGCAATCGGATCGATCACCTTCTTGTTGAAGGCCCAGATTTTATCCCAGTTCATGAAAACCACCGATTTGCTGCTTCCCTGGGCAATGATGAACTCCTTCAGCCCCTCCACAGTCATGCCGCGACGGATGATTCCACGCACCGTGGGGAAGCGAGGATCATCCCAGCCATCAACCAGGCCAGAGTCCACAAACCAGGTGAGCTTCCTCTTGGAAAGTACCGTGTTGGTCATGTTCAATCGACTGTACTCCCAGATGTACGGTTTTCTTAGCTTCAGGGCATCAATGAACCAGTAGAACTGATCATCACGGTCATGGTACTCAGTGGTGCGCAGGGTGTGGGTCACATTCTCGATGGCGTCCACAATGGGGCAGGCAAAGTCGTAGGTAGGATAGACCCTGCAAAGGTAACGTATTTTATACTTGTTCTAATTGAACGTGGAGGTTTACTCACTTGTATTTGGTTCCGGTGCGAGGATGCGGCTCGTTCTTGCAGCGATAAATGGTAGGATCGCGCATACAACCGTTGGCCGAGGTCATGTCGATCTTGGCGCGCACGCAGAATTTTTGACCCTTCTCAGAGCCTTTTACCATCTCTTCCCACAGGGAAAGATTCTTCTCAACAGCTGAGAAAAACAAAGAAAAATTAACACAAATTGAAGTTGAGTATTGAATATTGAAAATATCTATCACTGAGCAATCTATGAAATCCTTTTATTGTTAAAGCGGATAGTAAACCCATAGCAAGATCTAGAATTTAAGATAAACTTACAGTTAGAGCGATTGGCCGACTCCACGCGCTGTTCGCGTTCCAGCTTCATCTGCTCCGGTGGCGTGTCGTCCACGTAGGCCTTGCTCTCCTTGATTAGCTGGACGCAGTAGTCCAGCATCAGGTCAAAGTAGTTGGAGGTGTGCGTAAACAGGTCCGGCTTGATCTGCAGCTGCTCCAGATCGCCGAGGATGACGTTCTCGAACTCTACGGTCTCCTTGGCGGGATTTGTGTCATCAAATCTCATGATGAGCGTGCCCTGGAAGGCCAAGGCGTAGTACTGATTCAGCAGTGCCGCCTTGGCATGTCCGATGTGCAGGTAGCCGGAGGCCTCTGGCGGGAACCGGACCACCACCTTGCCCATTTCGGCACCGGGCAGGTCCACGAACTTGCCCTCCTGCTTGCGCTCGCCCGTTTTGGCGGGCGTCTGCTCCTTGGAGGCCTGCGGGCTCCTCTTTACCCTCGCTCCCTCTGGCAGGGATTGCAGGACCTTCTGGATCAGCGGCTGCGCGGTGATGAGGTCATACCAACGCTGCACATGCTGCGGAATGCCCTTGGCGGCTAGGAACTCATACCGCGAGTGCATCTCGTTAAACAGCGCAAAGTCGGCGATGGTCAGCTTGTTGGCCACCAGATAGGTCACCGGGGCAATGGACTTGTCCAGGAAGGACAGCGCCCAGGAGATGTCGTCCTCGCAGGTCAGCGAGAAGGACAGCCAGTGGTCAATCTGTGTCCGTTCGATGGCCGTCTCTCCATACAGCTTGTAATCGGGAGCGGCGCGGGCCAAAGCGCGGAGGACATCGTTGTTGGAGTGGCACACCAGCAGGCGATTATCGGGAAACTGCAGCGAGGTCTCCTCCTTGCTCCACACAATCTCCACGGGTACCGAGCCATTGATAAGGTGCGCCGTCGCCAGGCCACCTAAGCGAGTGAGTCAATTAATGTCACACGATACGAAACTGATGCAATAAAAGAGGGATCGGATGTGTATATTGTGTACATAAATAGACCCTGATCCGGATATAACCTCACTAAGTGCACATCTTCCGGGCGGTGAAGGTCACTGCAGCTGGCATCCTTTGGGAACTTACTTATCGGTGGATTATTGAGGTTCGCTTTGAGCTTTATTGACATCGTGCCAGGTTGTTCTCTTGCAATCTAAGTGGAAATGACGAAATTTCTCGGCTTGTTAAACGGCACGAGTACGGCCAGCTGCTAACGTCTACACAGACCAATAGAGATGACCGAAAGAGCTGCAGTTCCCTTGCGATAGTTGCCTGTGACTGGCAAATATCGCTCCGCTTAAATACAGTTAAACCATTTTTAATGAATGAATAATAGCCTGATTCCATTGCCGCATTAGTGGACTTTTTAAATGTGCCTGATTCCATTGGCGCATTAGCATTTAGTTAATGCTACTCCGACATGTGAGTGGCACGAACAGCTGATCTGGGCTTGTTTACTTTTGAATTTTGGCAAATCCAAAAGAAATTAATTAAAATTAATGAACATGAGTGAGTTTACTAAACTCTGTAATGCTCAGCAGGACTTCCATATTGCGACCGAGACATTTGCCAACTTGAACGACAAAGAAGAGAAGCTGATTGCGTTGTTATGACGGGTTTGCAATGAAGGCCACCACAGTTTCTTAAAAAGGCAAGGATCCCCGTATATGTGAGAGTTATTTAATGCCAGAGATCCAGCAGTAATGCATTATGGTACTGCGAGCAGAATTTGCAGCGTGCGCTCTAGGTTTCAGTCATTTTTATACAAAATAGATTTTAAATTCGAAAGACATCAAAAATTGCGCCAAACTTGCTTATAGAAAACAGCTGTTGTAGTGGTGGAACGAAGAAAATATCGTTAAACATCGGTATTTTCCAGTATTTTTTCTAAAAACTTTCGGGGCGAATGGTTTTTAATCGCATTTAAAAATCGCATTTATTTTAAATGCGGCATTTAGCCTTATGGGATTCTCTGTGTAAATAAATGCGCATTTGGCTAAATGCATTTTAATGCGGCAATGAAATCAGGCTATAACATATTATATTGAAAAACTGTTTTGGTAGTACTATTTTTTTCTTCGGATAATTGTTTTGAAATTTTTATAACAATTTTTATTAAACAAACATTTGCGAGTTTACATAAATCCTTTTTTCTTTTCATAAAGATTGTATTAAAACTTAACATGTGAAATATAACTAGAACATTTTGTTTAAAATATTTTTCAATTTCTTTTTTAAGTGATTATTTTGTATTAACTATAATATTTGGCTCTATTTGCCTGAGGCCCACTGTACTTGCTATTCGCTTAAAACGTGGACATGTCCACTGCGAATGTCAGCCCTGCAAGAAGAACAATTTTCTATGTGTGTTTTGTTCAGTTGCTGCATGGAAAAATAGTTTTTTTCCCTTTATTTCGTACACCCAGTGCACGGAAAAACTCAATCACACAGAAGAAAAACAAAATTAATGGTGAGGCTTGAGAAAATACAGTGGAAACAGTGATTTCTTAGGTGATCGGATACGTTTTTTAATGTTGACGATGCGGTGGCTCCAGGTGTTAATGTGTGTGCGTGCCCGATGACTGTATCAGTGCGAATTGGGAGCTTCGCTGGCCTAAAAATATATGAAAAATTAATGAAAACCACAATAATCAATAGAGGGTCTGTACTTATAAAGTTGCTATTCAATTCTAGATGCTCTTCATGCTGCTGTTCAGCCGGCAGGGCAAACTGCGGTTACAGAAGTGGTACATGGCATATCCGGACAAGGTGAAAAAGAAGATCACCCGGGAACTGGTCACCACGATACTGGCCCGTAAGCCTAAAATGTGCTCGTTTCTGGAGTGGAAGGACTGCAAAATTGTCTACAAGAGGTGGGTTGGTGTTTAATTCAGTTTGTACAAGATTCCTGATTTAAAATATTAAGATAAGATAGCTTTGGTTAAATGATAACTGATAAGACATGTATGCCTTAAATATTAAATATATTAAGACATTTTTTAGTAGTACCACATAAATGTTTTTAAGATACTAACGTTACTGTATAAACTTTGAAGGTACGCAAGCTTGTATTTTTGTTGCGCCATCGAGCAGAACGACAACGAGCTGCTGACACTGGAGATCATTCATCGCTATGTGGAGCTGTTGGATAAGTACTTCGGCAGCGTAAGTTATTAATACCACTGCCATAAACAGCATTACAAAGTGTTATATTTCATTTTCTCTTAACAGGTCTGCGAGCTGGATATCATCTTTAACTTCGAGAAGGCCTATTTTATCCTGGACGAGCTCCTTATAGGCGGAGAGATCCAGGAGACGTCCAAAAAGAACGTACTTAAGGCTATCGCCTCGCAGGATCTGCTCCAAGAGGTCAGTACACCCGAGACATATGATCTGTAATGCCTTAAACGGTTGTGTCACTCTCTACCTAAGCCGGATATTGTTAATTGTTTTACATATTTATTCAACTTACTGGTTTTTAGTTTCGTTACCTCGTTAGTGTTTGTTTGCATCTATATTTATATGCCTATCTATTACGTCTACAATGTCATACCTCATCCAATTCACGGTTTTCTCTTTATACTTTACTCTTACCTACTTGTTCTTGTTTCTCTAATTTGTGCAATCGAAACTAATAACTATTCTACTCGTACTATAAACCGAACACCTCTAACCACTCGAAGCAAGAAGAGTTCTTTTACTCGCTGCAATAGATTCTAAGAGCAGTATGCGTGTGTGTTTGGCAGCAGCATTGTCATTAACTTTAAGTTCCGAATCTGATGTAAACCACCTAGCTGACACACACGCTCCCAATCAATTTGTTTATGTGTCATTGCATGCCGTCTTGAGTTATGAAACTTGCCCACTCGAAAGCGAATTGTGAATTGTGAGAACTTACCAGAAATTATTTGATCGCCACAGTATTGAACTTGCCATAGATGTTGCTGTGCAGTAAAACTAAAACTTTGTTTGCCATTTGTAGTCAAATTTTTGCTTGTGTTGATTTTGTGACCTGTATTTCTTAAGTCTCCTAACCCGAATCGTAGTAAAATCTCGATCTTAGTTGGCTTGATTATTTTGCATGACCTTTGTAGCTGAATTACTAACTAGAATCGATGTTAAACTATACATATTTTTGCCATACCATTTAAACCATATATAAATGTGTAACCCATGTACCCTCTCTCTTGTTATTATTAACGCTTACCCTACCCGCCACTGCATAAATCGATGTTAACACAACTACTACCACCACCAACCAACAACAACCACAGGACTTCAATGAGTATCTTAACTAATCGATACAAAAAAGAACAGATTAACATAGAAGAAAAGAAAACCCAACCTTAAGAAGCAGTGTAAAGTGCATAAAGTTATATACCAGAACTGCGAAGAGTCTTAGTGGAGTGTCGATAGGTCAGATCAGTCAAACCTTCGCCCAGCTGTACATATATGTATATTGCCCAGCTTTAATTCCCCCGCCTTCCCCGCGCTGCGTTGTGATGTTCATCCATATAATATGCATTTCGTGTTTCCAAGTTGTGCCGTAAATGAAAGAAAAGCAAAGCCAGATTGAAATTGGTTTCTTTTTTGGACATGTTCTACTTACACACTTACACTTTCTTCTCGTACTACCACTACTACTACTTTCTTTCCTTCTACTCTTCTCGTTCTTATTGTTCTTATTCTCTGTACTCCAGGACGAAGCCGTTGAGGGCACTTTAAGAGACATTGGACTCCTCTAAAGAACTAGTACACCCTAGAACTTATTTAGTTGATATGACACGCACACCCAGAAACAACGAGCACACAATAACACACACACAGAAACACCCCCAGCGATAATGTGTGCTGCACTTGGCACTTTTCAACACTGTTTCATCAATGCTAGTGTGTTCTGGCTGTTGTACAGCACTGAACGCTGAAAAAATCGAAACAAAGAAGAAACCAAGCAGCGTAAGGCTTCAAAAGCAATAAATCCCACAAAGCTATATAATATAAAGTAACATCAAAGCATCTGGCATGCGGTTTTTCATACACCCTCTCTCTCAAAAAACACACTGATATATTAGATCCAGCTAAGTTCATGCAAAACAAGCCAACCTTACGTAGTTTCATCTGGGGTTTCCACAACTGAGTTAATATTCTTCTTCCTATTTACATTAAATAATCGAAAGATCATTCCAATCAATCACCAAATGGGCAATAACTAATTTAGTGGGGAATATATGCAATACTATTCTTACAATAAAAACAAGTAAGCTTTAATGTTGAAAAAAATGAGAACGATATATAAAAATTGTAATAATCATCCCTTAGTGGTAACCGAATAAAGTCTAGTTTATGTATATCTACAAAAATATATGTTTATGTATGTGTGTTGTACGTTTTAGCCAAATTTTCTGTGTTTTGTAACTGAAGAAAAACAAGTTAAAATAAAAAGCAAGTATTTTGAAAAAAAAAGCTAAATGTACTCGTATGCTATATTATTATGGTAAGAACTGGTGATCCTCAGTTTGTATTTAATTTAATTGTTTACTTATAATTTTAATTGTTGTCTTTGCTGTTGTGACTGAACCATTTGACTACTCTGACCTTTTTACGCTCGCTTTGATCCACTCTCCACTGATCTGACCTCTAAACTCCACTCTTTCCAAACTATCTATCTCCCCCTCTGTCTGGCTTAGTGCACCCGTTTGGTGTCCTTTTGCTTTTAGTTGTTATATCTTCTTACCCGTTATTAAGAGCCTATTTATGAAGTGTATATTCCCTAGTAAAGAATCTTTTACTTGGTTGCATTTTATCCAGAGCGATGTTGAGTATAGATTACGTAACTGAAGCTAAGCATTCTCCCATTCCAGGACGAGACCCCGCAAAGTTTCTTCGACGATCATGGCCTGGGCTAGGTTGCCTCAATGACAAAAAAACCCAAAAAAGAAATTATCTATATCGAACCCATTTAAAGTCGCCTTAAATGTATGCGTGTATCTGTATTCAACGTAACCCAAAAGTATATCGGTTCTATTATTATTTAACCATCCTGTGTCAGCATACAAGATTGTGTATAGAAGTGCTGTAAAACTTATTCTTAATTTCGCTTGGCAAATGCAATTTGCAACACATTTTACTCCACAAAAGCAGCAATAGCGGTTGCTCATACACATTCATACTTGTAAAGATTAACTTAGAGATAAAAAAAAATTAAAGCGAAGCGATTAATCGACGGTGTGCTCAACTCTATATTTGTAAGTTAAAAGCCCTATAAATATATGAAAATTGCTGTATCCAAAGTAACAAAACAAAGCTCTGTTTACTTTATACATTCTTTGCTACAAATAAAAATCATATTGAGTGTGAGAGTTTCTATATTTCAATTGTTTTAAGTTCTTCATTGATCTTATAATTGGGTAAAAGCTTTCAGAAAAATGATTACTTTTCAACTTTACTTGTTCTTAAATATGACATATATTTTCAGTTTTCCAATAAATGGTTATATTCGGCAATAATTAAACAACACAAATCATTTGTTTAGTTGACTCCAAAACGTTTTTTCTTTTGGGCTATTTTCCTCCGATAGCGACTTGGCCACATTTATTTCGGGTCAAGTTGGCAGCTCTTCGACCAACAAATTGTTGATTTCATTTTTATTTGGGGGCGGGCGAGAGTGCCAGAAATAGAGAGGGAGAATGTGACGGCACAAGCGCTGGCATCCTGCTCTCCCTTGCTCTCTGGCTAACGGGAGCTCCACAAAATTTCCCCCTGTTTGTTGTTGGGCGCGCAGACAGGAACTTGAACCCACCACACCGTCGAGCAAGACGGGGCGAGTGGCCCCCCGGCAAGTGGGAGCGGGACGGAGCAAGAGCGCCAGGCGGAGCAGCGATATAGGCGCTGCGCTGCGAGAAAGTTGCGGGCCCGTCCGCAGAGCGCCATCGTCTTCAGCGGAGCACACACAGCAGCTAGGTGTGCTCTTCCGTACGTAACGGTTGCGGATTTTCACTGGATTTCCATTTTCATAGCCCAGCACACAGGAAAATTCTCACACACCCGCAGCAGGCGGCGAAAGTGTGCAAGAAAGTGCACAAAAGTCGGGAAAAACCCGTTGAAAGCTCGCGTAAAACTCGGTTAAGCCCTCCTTGTGCGGTGAAAATTTTCCATCCGGAGATGGAAAAGTCTGAAGTGCGGGGAAAATCGAATGGAAAATTAGAATAAGCAGCAGCAGCAGTGTGAAAATCGAGTGTGCAAAATTTTGCAGCTTTAAAAATGTATGGTACATAAAATTTCTCTCTCCAAAATCGCGAGTGTGTGTGTGAAAATTACGTTGTCATATGTGCCAAGTGCTGAATTTTTCAGGCTTGACTTTCCCTGCCGAATCGGGCTCCAAAAACGAAATGAACTCCTTCAAGGCATTCCCAATGAAAAAAGACAAGGCCACTCGCTCAAAAGCTAGATACATTTGTACATAATATATGATATACATATACATATGTATCATATATGGTGGCAAGGAATCAAGCCGCGCCAGCGAAAGAAAGAAAGAAAAAAATTCTCTATCTATTGCGATTTGCTCATGCGGTCCGAAAAGAGCGAAGCGCGCAGCATTGGGTGGAAAAGTGGGTGGCAAGTCCAGGGGGGCGGTGGGTGTTGAGGACGGGGTGGGCGCCACCATGGCCCCAGTGGGTGCGAAGTACGGCTGCTTTGTCTACAGTTGTAGAAAGTGTGTATACACAGCCTCTGAAATCTATATATCTTGCTTTTTTGGGCCCCCCATTAGCATCCATAATTTTCAGTATTTCCCTCCCAGCCCAAATCAAAACAATAATTTCCCGAATAAAAGCAAAGCCGCAAAGTTTTCATCACTCCCACCCCCTCACCCCCGTTCATCGCATTTGTTGCAAAAATATTGCTCGTTGTGATTTATCCTTAAACTTGGCCACTTTTGTTGAACCGCTCCGCAGTGGTGGAGTTGAGTTCAAGCGGCTGTGCGGTGAATTGAAAGGTGCGCATGACGCGAGGACATCGCCTGGTGGCCAGGATATATTTATATATATATGGACACGGGAAACGGGTCCTGGACATTCCACGTCGTCAGACTGGCTCCAATCACACAGTTGCGGCCCAAATAATAGTATTGTTCAGTAAAGTTCAAAACTTTTTAGCTAAATGGGCACTGGCACACATATCTGTCCAAGTTTCTACCTTCGGTATTTGGTTATTTTTACGGATCAAAATGATCAATTTTGAATATTCCACATAGGTTAGTCCAAATCTATTGTAAAAGTATGCTTTATGGAAATATAGAGGCAATGGTCAGTCTTTTATACAACGTGTTAGACCACAAACCTTAAATGCAAAAGATAGTTTACAGTTTTATCTTTACCTGATTACATTACTTTTTTAATTTACAGCTCAACATTATGTTTAACTAAATATCCGCCAGAAAGCCTTAGTTTACCAGAAAATTACAGTTTAAAACCTTCACACAATGTTAAGACCAAGATTCTTACCCTCAAGGGCTATTATGCCGACCTTAACTGTTCGTATACACACACTGTGAATTTGCTTTCCGTTAGCTATCGTTTATTGTCATCAAGTTGAAAAATTCAATTGTCGTTACCTTTGTTTCGTCTATTATTAGGACCTGTATGATATAATATTTGACTGGATTGTCCTTGGCAAGCTCTGCTCGCAGTGGGCGGTTCGGTAGTGGGGGCTGATAATTGGTTCATCGCAGAACATGTTGCATACTTGAGGGCGCTGCGGCTATGGAAATTAAAAGAATCGCGCTGGGAAAAATTAAGCAATGCAGTTTGGGCTTTCGCTCTCTTGCTCCCTTTCTCTCCCACCCACCAGTCCACGCTGTTGATATCATATTTTTGCCACTTCTATTATTATATTGATGTCTACTACTTTTTTATGGTGCTGGTGCTCCAAGAATACAGGGAACTTTTTTAGCCAATTCACCATGCATGACGCGTGCTTTCCCTCTCGCGCAGACTGCTCTCTCTCTCTCTTTCCTTCGCTTTTCCCTGTGGAAACTCCCGCTCTTGTGGATTTTATTATCGGGAAACGTTTTCCTTTTTTTGGCTCTGCTATTTTTTTTCTTTTGGGGGTTTCGGCGCCCACATATCAGCGCAGGAAAGCGGAAAGTGGAAAGGCAAAGAAAGAGCGAAGAAGTCGAAGAAAAACATTTTCCGAGCTGCTGCTGCTGCGGCCGTTCGATTTTAGTAGTAGTAAAGTGAAGACCGCCCGCCGAGTGAAGTGTGCCTACGTGTGTGTCCGCGCCTGTGTGCAGTGTTATATACAAAATACAAATAATAAATATATCCTAAATGGCACACATAAATGATGGCAATTTATAAATACAAATTACCAATTTTTTGTTTAGTGCAGCGCCAGATATTGTAAATAATTAACAGTAAAAAACTCACCACCAAAGAAAGTTATAACCGAAAACGCTTAAGCAAACCAAAGATGCATAAATCTTAACTAATATGATACATAGTCAATATGTATATAGAAACTAGTAACGATAATTAAAGTAAACGCAAGGAATTACACCGATCCCGGCAAGCAAATGTCCGGATAGGGGAGCCGCCACCTGACCAATGGATGAAAATGCAGCCGTCGTCGCCGTCACTTTCGCCGTCGTCACTTTCGCATCGCTTTTGTCAGCAGCAGCAGCAGCAACAGCAGCAACAGGAAAAATCAGAGAAGCAGCAGAAGGATCAGAAGGAGCAGTCCAGGCTGGCCGGATTCTCGCCCTGCCACGCCCACGCCAATCGAACGCCCTCGGTCGGTACGGCAGCGCTGCCTCAGCTGGCGTCGACGCCCGCACCGGCAGCAGCGGCCTAAGTTGCCAAACCGAAAGAATCCCACTTCGAAATAGCCCATCTAGACCGCAGCAACAGATATTGCATCTGCGACATATATTGCAACTGCAACAGCCAAAAATATTGCGGTTTTAGCTGCGGCAGCAACACAAATTGCAGCTTCAACTGCAACAGCAACAGAAATCGTAGCAACCTCAAGGAGGCCAACGCACAGAGCAACAGCTACGCATAAGGCAGCACAAAAAGGCGCAGGATAGACCGGAAGCGGAAGGACCGGAAGAAGGGCGGGCAGCGGACACAGGCAAACAAAATGGCGGATGGTGGGCATTCATTCGTGAAGAAGACATTTCATAAGCCAACATATTGTCACCACTGCTCGGATCTGCTCTGGGGCCTCATACAGCAGGGATATATCTGCGAAGGTGGGTACATACTGGCATAGTCATTCATTTTATTTGTTCCGATCGCTTTTGCTAGGAAATTAAGTTTAGATGCATCACTTTAAGCTAACGAAATCTATTATAAAACCAAAGTCTTCTTTAATTTCCCTGAACTGTGCCTGTCTATCAGTTCTCGGTTTAGTCTCAAAATAAGTTGTAATTAATGGGCACTAAACAGAACCGAGAAAAGGTAACACGCAAATCATCGAACATCTTCAACGGCAGCGGCAGATGTAAAAATACATTTCGTCTAGTTTTGAAAATACTTTTTAAATTGCCATAAACTTGGAATGGAAACGTGGCCGCTGATGATGGCGATGAGGAGGTTGTAAAAACAAAGACTTGCACAAGTATTACAATAAAACAGAATTGCGGGAAGAAATTGTGTATTAATCTGAAGGCAAGAAAAGTTCAGCCGTGAATATTGACGGGATTCCAAACAGTATAAAGAACTCGGGCGTCTGAATGGGTAACTAAATTATATAAGTTAATTCGGGGAACTACATATTATCGTTTAATATTATTATGACTAATGATATTAGGAGGAATTCATAATTTTAATTTTCGCATAAAACCAAATAACTTAGCAGACGATAAATATAAAATATTAAAAGTTGCAATCCACGCGTATTCAGAACAGCAGCTAAGACCATTAAAATCTATCTATTTCTGTTTTCCCAAATAAAACTAAACAAGTTTTTTCCCGGCAGACCCAACGTCATCACCGCATGACCAATGGGTCAACTATAGTTTGTGTGGATTGTACAGATTGCATGGACCGACAGCATGTAGTGTAGTATAGGCTATAGTATGGTTTAGGGGCAGCATCATCGGGCTATTTGCGGCCGAGAAGTGTGCGCGTTTGAACTTTTTCAAATTGTGCGGCTGTTGGCCGTGTCTGTCGTGACGTGAGCGGAGCGCCAACGACGTCATAGTCAGCTCCGATTCGTTTTGTATAAATGTAGATTCGGGTAAACGTTTGTGCCATTGCCATGGAAATCTATAAAACAGAGCACAACGCTCGCCCAGCGCAATTTAAGCCAAATCAAAGCGATTTGGTTGGAATCAAAACGAAGCAGGAACAAAATTAGATTCGAAATCCACAAAACCTAGGCATCTGACTCTCCCAATGTGAAGCGTGTTAGGCGCCTTGCATCATGATGAATCTCTGTTTATTTATGCAATTTTGTTAATCGTATTTGTGACTCTGGTTTTTGCTATTATTATAATTATCGCGAATAACGATTGACGTTTTAGTGCTTACAGTTCGCTTCTTTTGCCACTTCATAGCTTTCTAGTTCATCCAGCCACATTATTCTCCAACCTTTCTAATTCTTTTTAAATAAAAGTTATATACATTTTAAAATTTTTTGATTAGATAGTGACCAAAATAAAATATCAAATCTATAATTTGTTAACAAAAAAATTTAACTGATTTATATTTAAATGTTTTCCACTTGAAGTATATATACATCTTGCAATTCCTTAAATGTAATAGAATTTATTTACAATCAAAAGAACTGCAATAATATATAAACGTTACTTAAACCTCTAGCTGTTCCTTTGGTCTTCTTTAGCGAACCATGGCTTGTTGATCTGTTCACTTTAATGGCTAATGCGAGAGATCATAAATATAAAGATATGAATGAACAAAAACGAGATTCCATAAATGCACTCATTCGTTTATTCCACCATTTCGCCAGCAAATTTATTGCCCGCTCGACAGACAAACACCCCGAAATTTCGATTTGTTTTCTTTGCACTTGCCTATGACATTTTCAGTGCATTTTGGCACAGTGTTAATGACGGTGAAACATCCTATTTTTATATAAAGCAGCCATACATGTTTTTAAAAACCATATAGCATGATGAGTGCTAATAATATGTGAAGTGTGTATTGCATACCTTCGGGGGCGTAGCTCCTTTGCTGTACATCACTCATAGGCCGCGTTGGTTGAATGCAACTTGTGCAGAGGCGTTTTTTAAGTGGGCGAATGATTCAAACTGCTCTCATAATTAAGTTTCATATATAATTGGACCCTGGATGAAGCTGGAACTGCAACTGTAGCTATCCGGCCCACGCAGTTACCCAGAAAACGACTTGAAATAGAGCACAGGCTCTCTGATTCTCGAATGTAGGTCAAATGCGAAATGCACTCTCGTACACTATGCAAAACACATACACCCACAGATGCAGAGCAGGCCGCAGGCGAATTGTGAATTGGTTTTTCAGGGGAAGCGGAGGCGGTGTGCAACAAGAGCAGCAGGTGCGCAACAAAATCAAATTGGTTGCATGAGCTAGGGGGTAGGGGGGTCCTTAAGATATCTAGATGCCGGTAGCAGCGCCCCTGAACCATCCACCTCAATGCAACCCCAACCCAACCCAACCCAGCCCAACCCTACTTCCCTCTCCCGTCCCCTCCGATCCGGATCCGAATCAGAATCCGAGCGAGGTGCGCCTGCCGATAGCAGCGAAGGGCTAAAAGTGCGTCATCAATGGCCGCCATGGAACATGACGACGATGCCAGCGGAACCGAAAACCTAGTGGAGTGAGGGGCTGGCGGTTTTGGAATGGAGGTGATGAATGGAAGGGGGATTTTCCTTGTTAATTGGCTCGTTGTCGACGCTCTTTATTCATAACCAAAGCGAATGGCGAACAACGAGAATCAATTAATACACTGTAGCATGGTTTTCAGCCTGAGTAAATATTTATAATGAAAGGTCTACAGAAACCGACATTTCCTCAAACACATGTAAAACATGTTTCAGTTCCTTTGAGGTGTTAATTAATATTGGACATATATAATATACAAATGTTATAACTTTTTGTTGAAAAAAGGGAAACCAATAATATTGATTTGTTTTCATTATTAGGAATTGAACATAGACTAATAAGTATAATAGAAATATTTCAAGCTATTTGGCTTAAATTAAACTAAATTTGTAAATAAAAACTAAAACACTTCTGATTTTGGCACATTTCCGTCTTCGGTAAGAGTATTAAAAACAGACTTTCGGGGTCGTCAGTGTGGCTAGCACATCGCTGAGAACGACTGCGAGGAGGAATATCCGAGTGAGCGATAAAAAGGGAGGGCACTGCTGACGTTGCAGGCCAGCCGGAAAAAATTTCCTGTCTAAAACGTATAATTAAATAAAGACAAGTCGGATTAAACGCCAGTTAAGCATTGCAAAATAAGGAAAGAGTACAAAGAACTATGCTATATTCTATAAATGTTATCCCCTCCCCCCTATCCCCGAAAAAGAAACTGCATTTATTTAATAGTCAATTCAATCAATAAAATAGATTGTAATTAAATTAAATTATTTTTTCTGAAATTGCTTAACGTTGATGTGGGAATAAAATAGAAAGCCGCGGCAAAAGTTTTTAGATATATACTTAATAGTTAGCTCAAATTTCAATTTTAGAGGTCGTGCCAGGCCATGTCCATGAAAATTGGTTACAAATTATTAGAAATTAAATTGAATTTATTTGTTTACAAACTGTAAGTATAAGTTACAAACTAAAGCTACAGCGAGGAGTAGGAGCCATAGCTATTTTCGCTTTTCGCCGAAAAAAAAATTGAATTTTGGCCCCTTTTTTGTTAATGTGCAGTGACATTTGGAGAATATGATTTTTGCGTGTTTTTATACCCTTGCAGAGGGTATTATAATTTCAGTCAGAAGTTTGCAACGCAGTGAAGGAGACATCTCCGACCCTATAAAGTATATATATTCTTGATCAGCATCACTAGGCGAGTCGATCTAGCCATGTCCGTCTGTCCGTCCGTCTGTCCGTCTGTCCGTCTGTCCGTCTGTCCGTCTGTCCGTCCGTTTATATGCAAACTAGTCTCTCAGTTTTAAAGCTATCTGCATGAAACTTTCCCAAAAGTTGTCTTTCTATTGCAGGTAGTATATAAGTCGGAACGAGCCGGATCGGACGACTATAGCATATAGCTCCCATAGGAACAATCGGAAAAATAAAGGAAAAAAAATTATAACTTTGCTGTTTTTTAATTTTTTGTTTAGTTCTTCGACATTTAGTAATGGTTAAATATTTCCGATTTACGGTTTAAATTTCATCAAAATCGGACGACTATAGCATATAGCTCCCATAGGAACAATCGGAAAAATAAATGAAAAAAAATTATAACTTTTCTGTTTTTTAATGTTTTGTTTAGTTCTTCGACATTTAGTAATGGTTAAATATTTTCGATTTACGGTTTAAATTTCATCAAAGTCGGACGACTATATCATATAGCTCCCATAGGAACAATCGGAGAAATAAATGAAAAAAAATTATAACTTTTCTGTTTTTTAATTTTTTGTTTAGTTCTTCGACATATGGCAATGTTTAATTATTTCAGAATTATGGTTTAAATTTTATCAAAATCGGACGTCTATATCATATAGCTCCCATAGAACTAATAAAAATATATAAAATAACTATCTAATAATTGAGCTGCAAATCATCATAGCTTCACTGTTTTTCAGTATATACTGAAGTAAATCATAATTTAAATGTTTTCAAAAGTATTTAATTCATGCAATAGCTGCAAGGGTATATGAACTTCGGCTTGCCGAAGTTTGCTTTCTTTCTTGTTTTTTTTATTTTTAATTCAACGAAGTTGTTCTTCTTCAGCTTCGTTTCCTGCTGTGGCCAAGTATTTTTCGGCTACATCTCAATTGAATTGTATAACTCAGCTCTGGGCAAATATCAATTTTAATTGTGCTTCCTCTTCACGCACTACGCATGTCAACTTGAGCGTATTCAATTGTCCCTAACCCCCAACTCCCTCTGCTTCTTTTTATTCCTTCGTCCTTTTTCCTCCGCCTATGTGTTGGCGTGTGCTTTAAGTTTGGCTTTGTGCTGCTGCTTCTTGTTCTTCTTCTTTATTCTCTTTTGTTATTCTTGGTTTTATTCCCTTTGGCCAAAGGGAAAGGAAACAGAAGCGAGGCAAAAGTAAAAGTGTGTTGAGTTTCTGACCCAAAAATTTCCCCACACAAACACACACTCAAACATACAGAAGGAAAGCATAAGGAAAATCATATCGAAAATTTCCCCATGCGTTGGCGTCGTTGTTTGTCTGCTTATGCTTATCTACACAAAAAAAATGAAGAGAAAAAGGGAAAGAGAGCGAGAGAAAGCACACAATTTTTGCTGGTATACACAATGCAGGAATGCATTAGATTTCAACCGCTGACCCACAGGGCGTATACACGCTCAGCTGTTGCTTCTGCACTAACACCCAAGCAACCACCCACCGCACGTGCAACAAAACAACAACAGACCGACAAAAAACTTAGAAAAAACTCAGGCCAGAGCGAGACGGCTGGCTAGCTGAGTGAAGCTACAGTTATGTTTTGCATTTCCATTGCAGCGAGGCGAGCGTCACGTTTGTCCTTCTCCTTCTCTCTTTTTTCACCCTGCTTGCACTGCTTGACGACGACTGCCCGCTGTTTTATTTATAAAACAGGCCAAAAACTAAAACATTCACGAGTTCATTCATGACGTCAGCACTGCGCCTCAGGTCAGCGGCCTAGTTTTTAGCTTTCTTCCTCTCACCTCCTTCTGCACACCCCCCCACACAAAGATAATTATGCATTTATAGTACATACGCAGCAAGTGTTTGTTTTTGTATGTCGCCCGACTTTTGTCTATGTGTAAATACAACTTTTACGGCGGTCTAAAAATAGAACTATGATATCTATGTTAAGTTTGGTGCACAAAAAACACAAGCATATGTATGTACATGTAGGTATGAATGTTTGAATATAGAGAGGACGGTGCTGCGTTTTTTCCCCGGGTTTGGGTTTCCGTTTTTGGTAGCCACTAAAAAAAACTGTCGATTTCCTTTAGATCAGTTGGAATCTTTGCAATATAAATCCATATTTCTGAGTAAATAGGTTATATCAATTCAATTTTAGTCTAGATCAAACATAAACTGAATATAAAGGGTATGAACGCAAACTTCCATGTGATAATCATTGTCGATCTTAACTCTGTTTTAAAATTACCAGTCTTTTGAAATAGATAAATGAATGGAACCATTGAAGATGTTTTTGTAGAAACAATATATTTTATAAAATCAGGGCCAAATCAGATCCTATTTCTTTCAGTGCAGCCCGGGCTTTGTGCGTGCAGTTATCCTTGTGCCTTAGCTTAGTCCTCCCACTCGCCCAGTTCCATTGCCTTGGCTACTTTGCTCATAGCTTGCCACTTGCCCCCTCTGTTCCCCTCGACCCCCCTCAGGTTGCCCTGCGGGGAGCTTCAATGAATGTGCTTTCGTCCGTGAACTCGGCAACTATGAATGGCATGCAGGCTGCCAATGACGCGGTGACTTTGCGGTCGCACGCAGGGACGGAGTGGGGTGTGGTTGTCCTGGAGGTCCATTTGGAACACAGTACTCTCACGGAACTCAAAATATTTATACAAAAAACTATTTTAATGATTTTAAGATGTAGATGTTAGGTAAGGGATCAGCACTAATATTTTTATTAAAAATTTAGAGAACTTTACTTACTATTGGAATAATAATTTCTCTTAACTATTCTTAAATTTTTTATTTCTGATAATATTGTTTATTTTTAATAACCAAATAAACCCTTTAAATTATTTAAAACAATTATTTCTACCTTAGATTTTGAAACTCATGTATGTTAAGTATACGAAGTCCATTTTTATGTAGACTTTTTGAAAGTTAGAAATTAAAATTAGTTAGTTTAGCTTTAGTACCTAAGCCATTGAAATACAAACTGTAAATTTTTAAATTATCTTTCCGTCTGGTTCCCATTTATTTAAGGTTAGGGGATATTATGTACGTAATATATATATATATATACGTAATGGCCCTTGTACCTGCTACATTTAGATAACAATTAAGCATTGTAATCTCATTAAAATAACTTCTGCACCTTTACCGAAACATTGCATAACCACACCTCTTTCTCTGCTCTCCCCACTTGCAGTTTGCAACTTTATTATTCACGAACGATGTGTCAGCAGCGTGGTAACGCCCTGTTCCGGCATCGCTCCATGCATTATAAAGGTACGTAGCCAGCAGTGGCACTCGCATTCACAATTCAGAACGAATATAGCTGTCATGTGTCATTCCACACAGAATCCCGTTGCCCATTGTTGGTCCGAGCCAACTCATCACAAGAGAAAATTCTGCACAGTCTGCCGTAAGCGATTGGATGAAACGCCAGCGGTGCATTGTTTAGGTAAGTGACAGTATATCTTGTCCCGTGTTTCCCTGTCCCCCGATCCCCTGATGATGGACTTTGGCGCAGTCCTGTTTCGTGTCACTCACTGCTGTTCACTTATTGAGCTGCGACCCTTTGTTCGACTCATCAAGATGTTGATTACTATATAGATGTACAAAGTCATATCATGGAATGTTATTGAACCTAATTTATTATCACCACATAAGTATGCTAGGTTTTAGGTTACATGGGCTTATATCAGCGTAAAAACCCAGACTTCCTGACCATTTTGAGTTATTAATTAACACTTCCACCTTGTTCGACCTTTCAATAATATAATTACCCACAGTCTGCGAATATTTCGCGCATATTGAGTGCCAAGATTTTGCCGTGCCCGATTGCACCGAGAATGCCACTTATGTGCCGGGCAAGGAGCTGCTTAATGTGAAGCATCAGGTGAGTGCATTCACCAGTCTGGCCAGGATCAGTAGGATAATGCAATATTCCACCCGAACAGCATCACTGGCGAGAGGGCAATCTTCCATCAACGTCCAAATGCGCCTACTGCAAGAAAACCTGTTGGTCCTCGGAATGTCTCACTGGTGAGTTTCCCACATCCACACCCAAACCGCTCTCAGAATTCATTTATTTGTGGAACTTTCTTCTCTTACAACCAGGCTATCGCTGCGAGTGGTGTGGCATGACGACCCATGCCGGATGTCGCGTGTACCTGCCAACCGAATGTAATTTTGGTATTCTACAACCTATCTACTTACCTCCGCACTCAGTCTCGATTCCGCGCACCGAGGTGCCCATCGAGGCCATTATCGGCGTCCAGGTCAAATCGAAGACTTCGCTCGTGCGTGACTACTCGTGTCGTAAGTACAGATTCCTGTCCACACAGGGATATTTCGGTAATGACAGATATCCCTGGTCCTGTCAAAATCAACTTCTTAATCGGCCAGATCATACACTGAGAAAAAAGAGGAAAAGAGTCACAGGCTAATGTTTTCTTCCCATTTTGCTGCTAAAAACTCTGAATCAGTTTGACTTAATTGAAGGCAAATATCTCAAACAAATGTATAAACCAAAATAATTATTTTTTTCTTAAAACATAACTTAAGATTATACATTTAGCAAAAATATATTTTAAAACTTAATACAACCATTTTAAAAATGATGAGGTAATTACTTTTCTTTAAAAATATATATCTTTTTTTCTAAAATCACGATGTAATATAAGAGGGCAATATATTTATTTACTCATTTTCTCAGTGTAGGTTGGCGCACTCACCCTCTTTAGCGATGTAGCAATACTCACCCACCCCCAAAAAGTTGCTATCGATGTTGTGTTGTGTGCACACTCCGATCACTGAAAAAAAAAACCGAAAACAGTAACTCCAACGATCAGAGATCAGAAATCACACCGCTCCAGCTCATCCAGCTCATTCAGATCATGGCAGACCACTACTCTCTCTCACTCTTCACCAATCCCACCGATGATTTTCCTCAATTTTCCCTATACTTTTTTTGATTTTTGATTTATTTTTCGTTACGTTTTTTCTTTTCTTTTCTTTTCTTTTCTCTCTTTTGGGTTTTATGCAAAATATTTGCGTTTTCCGTTTGATTGATGATGTATCTCTCTGTGTGTGTTGGTTTGGGCGCCACCGGCAGCCAGTCCGGACTTGAGCTGCCCGATTCCGGGTGCGGGATCGGTCTCCCTGGCGGGTCTCAGCCTGAAGGAGCTGCTCGAGCTCCACAGGCAGAGGCGAGAGCAATCGAAACAACATTTTCTCTTTTCCACACCGCCCACGCCCACCTCCTGCGGCTCCATCTCGCTCTGCCACTCGCCCACGCCCTCCTGCCTCACAGTCGGCGAAACGAGCAACGAGGCGGAGCAGGATCGCAATCGGGATCGGGATCAGCCAGAGGAGGAACCCGAGGAGGAGAACACGGAACAGGACAGCGCTCTGCAGCTGACCACGTCCGCGTCGCATGTGGCTGGCAAACTGGAGAAGTCGCCCTCGGCCAACTCCTCGCTGCACCTGCTCTACACGAATCTCTTCCGAAAGCTGGGCCAGGGCAAGCGGAGGCGGAAACGGGGCTCCTCCGGCGGGGGCATCTCGCCCAGCGAGGACGAGGACGACGTGGACGGCGGAGTCTGTGATATAAGCGGCGGCGATCTGAGCGACGACTACGATCACTGCGACGTGGCGCTGCGCCGGCGATCGCTGCGTAGCCGGCAGCCACGGGACGTCAGCGAGACGGACTACCACGGCGATGCCGAGATGGAGATGGAGACGGCAGAGACGGCGCCGCGAGAGAGCTGCTACGAGACCTCGGACACGGGCGGCGAGCTGACCAACACCGACGACCTCGACAGCAGCCTCAACCTGATCAGCAACCTTAGCTATAATAGTAGTAATAACAGCAATGCCTCGGGAGGAGCGGCTGCTCCGTCCGCCAAGCCAACCACCACTGCCCCGGGAAAGTCCGGACACGCCTTGAGCGTCCAGGGCGGACGCCAGCAACCCAAGACTGGGGCTCTGGCCCAGGCCAAGCCCAAGCCAAAGCCCATACTCATGGCCAAGCACAAGGCGCCGGGCAAGGGCGGCTCCCTCAGCTCGCCGCTGTCCAACTCCAACTCCAGCGACTGCTCCTCGGCCTCGCCCTCGGCCCCGGCCACCCTGCTCCAGCTGTCGCCGGTGGGCAGGAGCAAGTCCTTCCAGGAGTCGGCGGCCATTACGGCCGTCGCGCGCTACAAGAAGTACGGACGCGGCCTGTTCCAGCGCCGTCGCTCGAAGAGATCGCCCAAGAACGCCGGCGGAGCGGGGGGCAAGAGCAACTACAGCCTGGACAGGCTGTCGCAGAACATCGAGATCACCATCCAGGACGAGGATGGCAACTACCAGGCGTACGATGACAACTACCACACGCTGGCACGGCGACTGGACGCCACCGATGTGGACGACGACGTGGGCTTCGAGGATCTCTACCTGGACGACCGGCCCAGCGGGGTCAGCGGGGTCAGCGGGGCCAGCGATGACCTGGCCTTCGCCGGCGACATCAGCGACGGCGGGGCCAGCAGTCGCTCCCGGGCCAGTGACGCCAGCGATGGCCATGTCCTGGGCCGGCTGCTCCGCCAGGTGCGGCAGGGTCTCTCCGTCGGCTGGCGCAAGCCGCGCTACCAGAAGCGCAGAGGTGACTAGCCAACCGTACTCGTACTCTCTCCACTTCTCTTTGTCTCTGTCTCTGTCTCCGAATCAGTCTCAGTCTCAGTCCCTGCTAACAGAGGGATTTGGGCCTGGGCGAGACGACTGGTCATAAGTTTGCGCTAACCACTACGTTTTGGCTTTGGTTTTGGTTTTGGTTACCCCGTTACCCCTTTTTCGTTGAGCCACCAAGCCACTTCCCACTAATCGCTAACCCTCGAACCACTAATCATCCGCACCATTCCGCCCCACATTGCAATGCCACTAATCATTAACACCCACATAACCGCATGAAAAGCACTCGGAAAAATAAGTATTTATATAAGCAAATCAAAACCTTTTAAAATAAGTGTTTTAAATATCCAAATTTGTACATTTTAAGTCGGAAAAGGTTTTAACAGTTTACATTTTTGTTCATGTTAAAAAAAATACTTTAAAGTAGATGATAAATTTAAAAATGTTTTTAATACTGCTGAACCATTTGCGTTATTAAACAAGTTGTGTGATGCCTACTTTTCCGAGCTTAACTAAGTTCTAACACTAGGCCGAGGCCGCTTTTGTTGCTACTAAAATTGCCTGTCCCAGTGAGGATCTGACCAGTTACTGACCCACCTTCCTGTGACCTCCAGCACGCAGCATATCCGAGGAGTTTAGCAGCGGCGACACACCCCGTTTCAAGGACGAGGAGTCGGCCAGCAAGACCGAGTCGGGACATGGACCCAGTAGCAGTGGCGCAGGTGGCGGCGGAGCAGGAGGATCGTCGGTAGCTGGTGCCTCGGCATCGGCCGCAGGCGGTTCCTCCGGCCACTACAGGCCCGATTCTGGCTCCGGCCACAAGTCGGATAAGTCGGAGAAGGATCGCGAGAAAAAGGAGAAGGAGCGGGAGGAAAAGGATATAGGTAGGAGCTAAAGTCTGAAGTCTGTTGACAGCCTCAACTTAATTCAATTTACACTACTCTCGCTCCACAGAGATGATCAAGGTGTTCGATGGCAACAACTCATTCCGACGCCAGCAGTACCGGGTGATCATCGTGCAGCGCACCTACACGCTGGAGCAGCTGCTGACCACCGCGCTGCGGGCATTCCACATCACGCGCGACCCGCAGGCCTTCTACCTGACCGACCTGTACGCACCGGCCGGCATGGAGGACACCCCGATGCTGGACCCCACGCCCGTGCTCAACCTGACGCATCTGGAGGGCAAGCGGCCGGCCATTTACCTGCGGTTCCACGACCGCGACCGCGGCCATGTGCGCGTCTACCCCGGCAAGCTGCAGTGCTCAATGCTGGAGGATCCCTATGTCAGTGTTCCTGTAGATAATAGCACAGTTATTAAGGATTTGATCCGCGACGCCCTGGACAAGTTTGGGCTGCAGGATAACCAAATACAGGACTACAGGTGGGTTTTTTTTTTGTCGCTGATGGTAGAAAAACAAGTAAAAATGTCTTAAATGAAGAGTCGTTTGTGTGTTGTAAAGCTAGTTTAACAGTGCGCTTATCACTAATAAACGTCTACATAAAAAAAAAGCAAAAACAAACAAAACTTTCCCTATGTTATATATATCCTTTAAAACTAAACCACCTTCTTCCCCAGATGCTCGGAGGTGCTGCTCGATCGCGGGGTGACCGAGCGCATCTTGTCGTGGAACGAAAGGCCCTGGGATATTATGAAGCAGCTGGGCAAGGACTCGATTCGCCAGATGGAGCTGATGCGTTTCTACATGCAGCACAAGCAGGATCCGCACGGTCCCAACATCGCGCTGTTCGTGGGCAATCTGCCCACCGGTCTCTCGCAGCGCAACTACGAACAGATCCTCAACAAGTACGTAACCGACGAGAACAAGTTCATCAGCATCGGACCGATCTACTACGAGTACGGCTCCGTGGTGCTCACCTTCGAGGACTCCATGAAGGCGGTGAGTCTCTCGCAATATGGCTGCCCCAAGAAGAAGGCCCCATTCATGTGGGAATGTGTGTGTGTTGCAGGTTCGCGCCTTCTACAATCTCCGCGAGACGATAATCGAGGACAAGAAGCTGCTTGTGCTGCTGCTGCCGAACATTGAGCCCAGCATGGTGCCCTCCGATGTGAGGCCCCTGCTGGTCTTCGTCAACGTGAAGTCCGGTGGCTGCCAGGGACTGGAGCTGATCTCCAGCTTTAGGAAGCTGCTGAATCCCTATCAGGTCTTCGACCTGGACAATGGCGGTCCTCTGCCTGGGTAGGCTCAAATCGTAGAGTTATATATTATCCACTAATCATAATTACATACCTTTTTAGATTGTATGTATTCCGGCAAATAACCAACTACAAGATTCTAGTTTGCGGCGGCGACGGCACCATTGGATGGGTGCTGCAGTGCCTGGACAATGTGGGCCAGGACTCGGAGTGCTCCAGTCCACCTTGCGCCATAGTGCCCCTGGGAACTGGTAAGTCAGAAATCTGTGAAAATGGCAGCCTAACAAACTATATGGTACCACAAAATATAACCAATCTATCGCTTTAACCCATCCAAACTCGTGCAGGCAACGATTTGGCTCGCGTTTTGTGCTGGGGTTCCGGCTACACCGGCGGCGAGGATCCACTGAATCTGCTGCGCGACGTCATCGAGGCGGAGGAGATCCGGCTGGACCGCTGGACGGTTGTCTTCCATCCCGAGGACAAGCCCGAGGAGCCGGCCATGAAGGCGCCCTCGCAAACAACCGGTAAGAAGAAGAAGGCACACCAAGCACACCTATCGCAATCGCAACAAACCAATCAGCATCATCAATTACCGGCTCTGACATCGAGTGATATATCAGGTCATTTGGTGTTTTCAAAACTTCGTTCGTGTGTTCTTTCTTTACGTAACATCCTCGTAAGCCCGTCCAGAGTCTAACCCCACAGATTCCGACCCGATTGTCCTGTCCCAGTCCCACATACCCATATCCCAACACTTTTCTTTTGTGTTGTAATTAAATCCGTGCTTTGATCCGACTGTAATATTTCGTTTCACACAAAACTACTATATGATATCGAAAATTGTACAAATATACCAATCGTTGGTGCCAAAATAGAAACAATATAATCAATTTGTATAAGTCTTATTCAATATTAACAAAACAACACTAGTTAGAACTATAAATATTTTATAACTCGAAATATTTTTAATTTTGTTAGATGGTTTAAGAAACAGTGAATCAATTGATTTGTAAAAATAGTTACACTTAGTTCAAGTCGTAGAAGATAATCTTTACTAATCAATTAGTACTCCTCTTACGGTTCTTTGTACAAAAACATAGCCCCACTTTACCCTAAGATAGCCCCAATTCCCTATTTAAGTCCAGTTTGGTACCTGATGATATATGCTGTTTAGTTTTCATGTGAAAATATGTATACCTGAGTGGATTTGCATGCCCAAAATCCCTAAAGATTTCAATAAAAGGTAAGGTAAACACCAAAAAGTCAAGACACCGAAAAATGCTACCAAGACTTTGGTAAATTTACTATGTATATTAAGTGGATTTTATCCACCTCGATGTTGTGAGTTCAATGTTCGGTGTCGTGTGTCAATGTTTTATTCCAAAAGCGGGTAACGAAAAGAAGTTAACCGATCTTCGCGTTCCATCCAGGTGGTGCCCAGAACGAGGACAACTCGCAGATCTTCGTGATGAATAACTATTTCGGCATTGGAATAGATGCGGACCTCTGCCTGGACTTCCACAATGCGCGAGAGGAGAATCCCAACCAGTTCAATTCGCGGCTGCGCAATAAGGGCTACTATGTGAAGATGGGCCTGCGTAAGATCGTGGGTCGCAAGGCTGTCAAGGACCTGCACAAGGAGCTGCGCCTGGAGGTCGATGGCAAGATTGTCGAATTGCCACCCGTCGATGGTATCATCATCTTGAATATTTTGAGGTAAGCTGGCAGAAAACCTACTGCTTGATTGTTTTTATATTGTTGTGAATATTTTGTTTGGATCATTAAAACCTATAACACTTTCCAGCTGGGGCAGCGGTGCCAATCCCTGGGGTCCCGACAAGGACGACCAGTTCTCCACGCCCAACCATTACGATGGTATGCTGGAGGTGGTGGGCGTTACGGGAGTGGTCCACTTGGGTCAGATCCAATCCGGAATTCGTACGGCTATGCGCATAGCCCAGGTTAGCATCCAAATTCAGTCCTTTCCAGCTTTATTATATTAATATAATAAATTTTATTCGTAGGGCGGTCATATCAAGATACACCTTAATACTGACATGCCCGTTCAGGTGGATGGAGAGCCTTGGATCCAGAGTCCCGGCGATGTGGTCGTCCTCAAGTCGGCCCTTAAGGTAGGATGCTCCTTTCCGATTTGGACTTTGACTTTGCCGTTTCCATGCATGTATCTGCTACTCCTTTGTTCCTTGGCATGCCTGCTTCTTAAAATTGCCCTCATTTCCCGTTTAAATTTACACATAAATGAAACATAACCAAATCAGCTCATGCCCAAATAATCGCCTTTCTAACTCTTATTGTTTTCGAGCTTTGGACCACACTTATAATTTACCTATCTTTTGATTCTATTTTTATTGAAACACCTTCTTACGAAAAGTAATTGACCCCAAATCCACAACATACTTGACAGTAAAAATTTAGATTTAAGTCTTCCTTAGGCACAACAAAAAGAACTACAACTAGGACATAAAATTAGGAATGCCTGTTGTTTTATTTCCTTAGTCCAAAAAAAAAGGAACAGTATTTGTTGATAATTAAAGCAAGATGGCAATCGGTTTGTTTTGACTACTGACAATGATCAGTCGAATATTAAATATGAAATTAGAACCGAAAATTTACCATAAAAAAGAACTGCTAAAGAAATAAACTTACCTACAAATCTCTGGATATTTACAAAAACTAATGGTTTAATTATGTTTTTTTTAACCTAAAAAATCCAAACCAATTGTCATCGATTGAAAAACAAAACAATATGTTTTCTGCGTGTGCGTTGGATATGCGTGTTCTGTATGTTAAGCTTGTAATTTGTCCCCTGGTAAATCCCATTCGATGTGTCGTAATTAATTAATAGAGCACACACCACCCGAAAACAACCCGAGCCACCCCTTTTCATGTAAAATAGCCACGTTTTTCTGCATTTTTCATTTGTTGATGGCAGCTGAAATTAAAGAAAGAGTTGAAAACTAATGAAATCGGCAAAAGAACAACTAAGTAGCGTTCTGAAATGTTTCTCTGTTTGATGTGCGTGTGCCTGCGTGTATGTCGGATTTGACAATGTGTGTGTTTTACGCTATATACATATTTAGGCCACCATGCTGAAGAAAACGAAGAGTAAGCGCCGCAACACCGAGCCGCATATCTCGCCGGCAGTACTGAGTGTTTCAGTGGCTCAGCAGGGATCGGGATCGGCATCGGGATCGGGATCGGTTTCGGTAACGGGATCCCCGCAGTCCCAGTCTCAACAGCAACTGCAGCAACAGCAGCAGCAACAGCAGCAGCAGCTGACCGAGAATGGGGAAAAGGAGGCTTTGATGGCCCTACCTGCCGGCTTTGGCAGCACATAGAGCTTGGCTACCGGGCTGCGATATTGTTTCTCCTGTTTCAATCCATAAAACCAGATAGCCAGATAACTCAATAACCACCGAAAAGTATAACCACCCATAACAGATCAGCAGAGCGATGGCCAAATTGTAACCGCAAATCGAATATTTAAACAAGAGCAAAACTCCAATGCGAAAGCAAATAAAAGCTTATCTTCCAAAAGCGAGAAATAGCATTAACAAGCCAACATGAAAAAAGAAATTTAAAGAATTAAAAAAAAAAAATAGTTGTAAATAAAATTTGGTGCTGTCAAGCTCTAAATACTTTGAACCACCACCCAGAAACACACACCACCCACCTAACCAACCACCCACTGCACAATAAGAACTGTGACCACCGCTATTGAACTTGAACTTAGCCAACTGAGGCCACCACAATCCACCTTAGTACACACCACACGATAAACACACACCATACACAGACACACACACACACACAGCAAGCCACTGCGTCTAGAAGTTGTCCACAATATTTAATGAAATTTTATGCGATTATTTAATAATTTTCTTTACATTTTTCCGTTGAAGGAACTTGGTCAAATTTGTTTAAATTTCCATTTCCGTTTCCGTTCCGTTTCTCAACTGCAAGCTTTCGTAATCCATCATTCAGTATCGAAATATGTATAACCGAAACCATTTAGTTGATTGAGTTCCGTTGCATTTTGCCTGATTTCTCAGCTAGCTTTTGAAGCACTTATAACGAACCTAAGCTAAGGCAAACGAAAATTATTTCCTTTACGTTAACGCTCTATTTTCTTACTCTCTTTATCTCTCTAACCAAATGAAAATACACAAAATCACACGAATACCAAACAAACGCGAACCAATTTACTCTGTGAAAATGAATATCTTAACTAATTGATACACCGTACGCTTGCCTTTTAAATTTTCTTCCTTTATATCTCTCTTAACATCAAAACGTAAATCAAAATCAATATGATTACCGTTGAATGCAGGCCACCATGTTGAAAAAGAACAAGCTTAAAATGAAACGACGGAACACCGAACCCACCATGATGGTAGCCGGCTCGGCCGTCCCCCAGTTGTCCTTGGCCCTGCCGCCAAGTGTGGGCGAGGTGGGCTTGGCCGGGGATGGCGCCGAGGGCGAAGGCGGTACGAACAACACGGATTTCTGAATATGGTACAGCGAGCGTCTGATTTAACGTGCTAATTCCAGCGCAGAACCAAAAACTGCACCACCCTACACCCCACAGACACCCCCACCCACGATAAGCCCACCCGATCCCCCACCCAGCCAGCAGCAAAAGCAACAAAACCAACAAAAGCAGACGAAACAACAGAAGCAAAAGGAGCAGGCTCAGAAGAAGAAGCAGAAATCACATAGTCCATAGTCCACACTGACCAAACAGCAGGCAACTCGAAAATCAAAAGCTGTAATCAAAATTACTTGTATGAAGGAGTCCAGTTCAAAAGATTAGATCGAATTATATCGAATTTGATCAGTTTTAGAAGCTCAGCGAACCCGGCCGCCGCCTTTCCACGTCTGTAATAAGTACGTTAAACTCAAACAGCTCGAACCAACTCTGTCCGCAAGCAGAAAGAGCTGCGGATAGACAGAAAACAAAACTAAAACTAAATAGAGGGTATAGTGTAAAAGAAGATATTCAATTTCCAAACACTCAGCAATAGTCTGGCCAAAGTTGTATCAAATTCAAGTTCAATTATGTTCCTTCTCGTTTTGTTCCTATGTAAGCAACAGCAGAAACCGATTAGTGATACCGTTAAACAGAGAGAAGCGCAAGCAGTAGTAAAAGAAACAGGGAGAATGAAATCACAAAAATAAAAAAAAACAAAGAGAAGAGAAGTAAAGCTAAGGCTAGAGAAACCCAAAAAAAAAACAAAACAAAAAGTACAAAATTGTTGAAAATTGTTTGTTATAACTAAATGAAATCACATAAAAACCAAGTGAGAAACACCGAATTATGTAAAAAAAAAAGAAGAAGAAATGCTCTTTACCAACTTGGTAAAGAAAGTTGTGTTCCAGCGAAACCAAGTGTTCCGAAACCAACGAGAACATACAAAAACAAAAAACACCCAGCCAGGACAAGACAAACGTGCAGCAGATGCGGGAAAATTTATACGAAACTTTTTTTTATGTTGTGTGGATCGATTTGATATTGAAAATTTGGAGAGGGGAAAAAGCTGCAAATTGCATAGTTGGCTAAATACTAATTGGGACGAACAAAAATTGAAAACCGCAGGCGGGCTTAGCTTGTCCTGTTTGCCATTGAATTAAATAGAACACCTTTGGATTGTGCAATTGGTATGAATTTTCTCCGCTGCTGTGCGTCCATAAAAAAATAAGTGAAACCACGCGAAATAGTAAAATGCATTTTCGAGAGTAGGCAACGGCATCGCAAGTATTTCACCTGCATTTGTCTAAAAAAGAAAGGAAAACTTATTTTGGATGTGAAATCCGACTAGAGGAATGTGGAGACGCAAGATCCGAAAACTACAATTTCAACTTTAAAGCGCTTAAAAAAAACAATTTTTGAAAGTTTTATAACTAATTTTACATTACGTCTTATGTGAACGACACGCCAACTACACACACACACACACACGAAGCCAGGGATGAGGGCCAGGGAAGGGTCGAGTGCGGATCCCCCGCCCCAGCGACTATGCGCCTGCGCACTCGGCCCATCTCTGGCACACTACACGAGCGACGACGCGGCCCAGTTGGGTGCGGGAATAGCCGGAACTCAGAGGGCGGGACGCACCCAGCTGCCGGCCCGCCGCCCACACAAGGTCACACCGAGAGACACACGCCCACGAACAGACCAGAGTTTTTCCCCCAAGCCGTCAGACACGCACTGCCATGGAAAGGTCACGGAAATCGCATGGCAGTGCTCACCAAAATCCAAATCCAGGCCCATTCTGCTGGCCCCGCCCTCGGGTCCGGATTCGGCTTCCGGACAGGTGGGTGGGTTGGCGGCAGGTCGGGAGTTTGAGCTTAACACGCCAAAAAAAAAATTAAAAAGAACACCACCACCCTTTGCGTTCGGCAAATCACCTCCGGCTGCGATTAAGGGGCTCAGTGCCTGGGGTTAATCGGAGCACACTCGACCGATTTCCGTGACATACGTCTCTGCTCTTCCGGCAGAGATCGGAGGACGCGCCCGGGGCCGCCAGTCGTCGGCTATGCAATGGATTGAACGAAACATGCGCCAGAGCCAATTCTTATATTTGAACCATTAGAAAAAAAACCTATTATTTTGCTTTACAATTCGACCCACTATCATCCAAGATTGCGCAGCCTTCGATGCCATTGGCCCCGCGGCGTCGTCATCCGGCCCATCCTCCAGAATGCCTTCCAAAATCGGCATCTACTGGATCGATTAGCTCCCAGCAAATTGAATCGCAGCCCGCAGGAGATTTGGTTTTTATCGCCTCATTTCGTACAAAGAGAAACCGCAACAAGAACACACTGCACATCGTTTTTTACACCCCTTGCGTTATGTTTTTTAAATGTATTTAAAATAAAAAAAAGAAAAAACCAAATAAAAGAAAACAAAACAAAATATGAAAACACAGAAAAACCAAAAATAGAATGTAAGTTTAAATAATATGCTATTCAAAGAAATCCAAAACATGATTACCCATAAAACAAAAAGAAACGCAAAAACTAAAAATACTAATTATAGTACATACATTGATGTAGTGTTAATTGTAAGAACCCAGAAATTGTTTCATGAATGCCAGAAAACAGAAAAAGATAACTGAAAACCGAAAACAGAAAACAGAAAACCAAACTCCAAGCAGTCGTAGATGCAGATACAGTATCGATGAGATTCAGCTGCGCAAAGCCCGTAAATGTACAAGTAACTATTTTTCTCTATACCAAAAGTAAAGCTCCACCATTTTTGCTCCACATTCAAGAAACAAACTCGGTGCAGGAAAATATTGAATTTAGACGCAAAACTCAGCGATCAGGAGCTACAAATGCCATGCGATCAAGAAATTTTTAATTGAATTGTAACAGACTACGCAAGCAAATACGGAATTTAATATTAAATGTACAATAGCGTCGCTTTAATGTCCATAAGAACATTATGTTGCAATGCAAACGTGAAATCCAAACCCAAAACAGTTTGACATTACGACAGATTCGAATGACATCAACAAAAAGAAAAACACACACAACACAGAAGATAACTGCAAAATAAATGTAACTGACATAACATATTGTTTCTATTGTATAATTACTGACTTGTTGTGGATCTCAGACCTTGGGATTGATGGGGGAGGTTCCCGATAAGTAAGTATTTACCCGGAAATATTTATCAGCAAAATGTTGTATTAAAAATTGTCGTTTTTTCGAATCACAATATATCATTAATATTTCGGTTTTTATTTAAAGATATTTTTTGGATGTTAAATCGAATTTAGGGTTTGTTCTTTATTTATAAGCATTACAATTTCAGTTTTTAATTTTAGGTAGACTTGTAGACTATTTAATGATGGTTAAAAAAAAAGGTAGTCCAAAAATTGGAACCAAATTAAATAAGATTTCAATGTATTCTCTATTAATCTGTGGTTATTCGCACTCAAGGGAGCATAGCTTGATCTCTATTATCTCGTACATGGAGTGTTAAAATTCTTTATTCAATTGCATTGAAATGTTTAATTTATCAAAAATTTCGAGATATCTTATACTTAGCAGCGAATCAAAAGCATTCTAATAACTAACATGATAGTGTTTAAAGACTAAAGCTAAAATTTAAAAAGTTGGATCCAAATTGTAAAACGAAAATCATTTTGAAGATTATCATGAATTTTAACTGCAGTTTCCATTTATAACCCGGTCTAAGTTTTTATTTTACTATATTTGTAACTTGGAATAATCAATAAAATACATTTATACAATACATATCACGTAAATTTTCTTAAATCCTAGGGCTAATATCGTTAGTTAGTTACGAGCTTCACTACATAGAGAGGGTGTGCTGCCGGGTTTCTGTCTCGATGATAAGAACGAGGACCAAATGACATACAATGATAACGACGCACATGATGAGAAATACGTAGAGAATTATAAACTGCTCGCTGTTCACAAACGTCAACTATTTGTTCTGCTCCGAGTCGGATGAGGCATTCGAGACGATCGGGGGGGTTGACCGGCCATCGTACTGCTGCTGATTCACCAGCCGCTGGCGCTCCAAGTACATGGAAACCTTTATGTTGCGCACCTGGTGGTTGTCGATGAGTTTCAGCAGGGCGATTACGCCGATGCCCACGGAAATAGCGAAAGAACCCCAGGCACCAAACTGAAATAGACCAAGAACACCAATTAGGACATGTCTGCAAAAGGGTCAGCTACATTGAAAAGCAGATCTATGTTCTAAGCTTGAAGTTTGGATTATTGATTATTCGATTATTGCTTGTTTAATAAAGCATTTAATTATACCTTTTTGGGATAAATATGTCACTTTATAGAAATGGATATCGTAATTCCCACAAGTAATAAACAATAACTAAGTGTGCTGTGGTTCCTGTACCCTGTACCAACACTACTTGTGTTTTCCTTTGTCAACTTACTTGAGTGGTGCCCATTTCGATGTAGAATCCCGAGGTGTTAATTTTCTCCGTGTCGCCGCGGATGATGTTCTGACCCGCGGAAATAGCGCAGGACGGAAATCTCTCGGTCATGCCATCGCACCAGACAATGAAACCCAGGGTAATGAATATGGCCGACAAGATGGACATGGCCAGCATCCAGATGCCCAAGACAACGTCAATGAAGAGAGCTATAAAGGAGGCCTCCTCCTTCATGCGGGCGTACCTTTAATGATGACAAGTAGTTAATCTGTGTACAAAAAAAATCGGTCTTATGTGCACACCTGTATATCTGGACCACCGAAATGATGAGCAGAAAAAACCCGGTAATCAGGGGGAAGTTGCAGAAGCCACTGGAGGCCCACTGGACATCGAACATCCCGTCCTCCTCCCGCCATTTGCCAGTTGTGAAGAGGAGGCAGTGTCCACTGTCGAGAATCAAGGTGTTCAATTATTAACTGGGGGCAAAGAGAAAACTGCGCACTTCCGTACCAGAATTGGTCGAGGTTGATAAACAATGGCACAATGATGCACAGCGACAGGATGAAAAGGATGACATGGCCAGCTATCTGGCTCAACTGTAGCACATTGGCCAGGGCCATCGCGAGTTTTAAACAAAAAATTAAATTTAACAATACAATTTGCTCGGAATGCACTTTTCACTGTTATCGATAAGCAGTGTTGAACAGCGCGCTGCAAGCGCTTGCATCGGAATGCGCGGCCATCGATATCTACGCAGGAGGCCCTGGCTCTCGAAAGTCCATCTCTAGTTCGCCCTGAACTCGTAAAAAAGTGTAAAATTTGTTTACATTAAAAAAAGGTAAAATAGAGTACTTGCAAGGTACTTATAGTGCACGTTGCCTCCCAGATAAGTCAGCCAGAACAAAGGGCCGTGTACATGTGTGGGGCGTGGCCCGCGGTCAGCGCGGTGGTGGGGGAACAGCCAGGGCGAACAAAGAGCAATTAATGCGATAGGCTGGGAAAGGGAAGGGGGGCTTTCTCCTCTAACTTTCCCCACTTCCCCGATTTTCCTATAGAGGCTGTTGTGAAACGAAGGTGAAGATCGATCGGGCGATCTATATGCATGGAAACCTAGTGCAGCACACACTCCTCCATTCTACATTACCCATTGTCCACCTGATCCTTTGCAGACGCAGAACCGGACCAGCGGACGCAGTTCAATGAGGTGCTTATGAGCTAACTAGCAGCAGGACGGCAGCCAAGGAACACGGGGACGAGGTCCGGATCAAGAGCAAGGTGCCAGGACTCACAGGCAAGAGGCTAGCGCAGACTGGAGGGCAGCTGGTGACCTAGTTTACCCTGCACAAGGTGAGCCAGGGCCAACATTTAGTTCTGAACTATACTAACACCCCCAACGATTTGCAGAAGATTAGAGGACTGTCGGCGTTTCTGTGGCACCTCCAACTGGGGCTGTTCTGTTGTGTTTGATTGAACTTAGAGCATCAACGTGCACTGCCATTAGCTGTTAACCTTAACATATTAATACCTACCTAACGTAATTAGTGTTCTTGACCTCGTGAGGAGCAGAATGTCCAACTCCCACTACAACAACTACCAGCAGCAGCCGCACTCCAGCAACGGGGATGCGGAGTACCAGCACCAGCAGATGGTGCACCAGCCGCAGCGGCTCTCCAATGGTCACGGGATGAAGAGCGTGGCGGTGCCGGACATGTGCCTCTTTTGCTTCGAGGTGCTTGACTGTGAGCTGAACAACGTAGACGGGCCGTCGGTGCCGATGTTCAGCAACGATGCCTACCCGCTTTTTGTCACCTGGAAGATTGGGCGGGACAAGCGGCTGCGCGGATGCATTGGCACCTTTAGTGCCATGGAACTGCACCATGGACTGCGCGAGTACGCCCTGACCAGCGCTTTCAAGGACTCGCGCTTCGCCCCCATCTCCAGGGATGAGATGCCGCGGCTTACTGTCTCGGTCTCGATCCTGCAGAACTTCGAGGAGGCTCAGGGCCACCTGGACTGGCAGCTGGGCGTCCATGGCATCCGCATCGAGTTCCTCACGGAGCGCGGCTGCAAGCGCACGGCCACCTATTTGCCGCAGGTGGCCACCGAACAAGGCTGGGACCAGCTGCAGACCATTGACTCGCTGCTGCGCAAGGGGGGCTATCGGGCCGCCATCACCCAGGAGCTAAGAAAGTCCATTAAGCTCACGCGCTACCGCTCGCAGGAGATCCAGATGCACTACAAGGAGTACCGCGAGCACCAGGAGCGGCGCGCCCAGTTCGGCAAGGTGCAGTGCTAACAATTGGACAGGCCGGCGGCGAGACGATGATCCTGGCTGAGGGCTGGCTTGCTGGCTGTCGTCCTCCTGTTGCTGCTAGCCTTTGAGTTTGGGCCAGCTTGGCGGCCGCTTGCTTGATCCGAGTTTTGAGCTCTTACACCTCCAACAACCATTAAAATCCCTCACAAATTCTCCAAAACGGGCGTGAGATGAACGCCTTTTATTAAATATAGCAATAAATGCTTGATATACTTAAGCGGCAAATCCGTAAACAATTTCGAACGAAAAAAAAACGAAAAATAACTAAACACTAGGTTGAATCCCCTTGTAACCGGATTACTTTGATCGATGCTTTAGCCGCGGCCTTGCTGGTTTCTCTTTTAAATCAAACACACACAAACTAAACAAAACAAGCATATATATAGGGATATATATTACCGAATCAATACATTACAAAAATGCAGATATGTAATTCAAGTAAAATGTTCAGCAATTATATTATTAGATTTAAGAACTAAACCAATTACCAATTACATTACTAATTCTAATTCTATGCGCATTAAATAAAGGTCGACCCCATCCGAGTCGCGCAAGACAATGCAAAAAATTATCTGTTCTACGCTTGGGGATCGCGCAAGCGAAGTGGAGTATATCATGTTTTGGCATTACACGTATTCAATGTATATTGTTTATTGTTCCATTATGTTGTGCGTTGTTACATGGGTTTGTACTTCTAAATCTAGTCGATAATATTGATACATATATGTTCGGGCTTTACGTACGGCGTAATCTCAACAGGTTGCTAGGGCAAATCTGCCTCTTGGATATATTGCTACAAAAAAGCTGCGCTACGCAGCAAGACTAATCAAATGGTTTAACAACTAAGCTAGTAACAGAGCAAGTTAATTTATGGCTAAAGCGGCGAGCAAGCGCTCAATTATTATAATTACTGGCGTATGGTATAAATGTATATATATTCAATATATAATCAGTGCGATACTGGTTGCAATAAAGTATGAGTCCATTGAGCTCGCTCTCGAACAAGCAGAGCAATTATCATAGATGTCTTTGTCTATATACCGCAACAAAATCGTATTCCATCGCATTGTAGTCTAAATAACTTTCAATTTATATGGCAGTACATTCAACTTAATGCAGCTCCAATTTCCGAGCAGTAAAGCAAACAATTTACGTATAGTTCCGACCGCGTGTGAGCCACCTCCCAGTCCATCCCAATCGAGATCCAGTCTCAATGCTTGCACTGAAACTGCTCTAAGCACTGGCACTAGGTGGCCGACAAGGCGTTCCACTCGAAGCGCGGGTTCTTCGAGTGCGTCACCGGGAGACACTCGGGCTCCACCAGCTTCCAGACGCCATCCACCTGCTCCACCGTGGCTAGGCTGCAGTAGGGGATCTTGTGGATCACTTGGCGCAGTTCGTTTGTGCTCCGCGGAACTCCACCGGTCAGCTGACGCGAGCATGTGTCCAGTGTGGTTGCATGGGCCACAACCAAAATGTTACCAGCTGGTGGAGGAGAATGAAATTCACATTAGAGATATGCAGCTTAAGGTCACATTGGACTAATTACTTGTCTGCTCCAGCAGCTGCAGGATAACGTCATGGTTGCGCTCGTAAAACTGTTCCGTGGACTCCTTGAGGCGAACGGTTAGGTCGGACGCCGGCTGCACTGGCTCGTAGTCCAGATCAACGTCGTACTTGGCCTCGATCAGCTCGTTCTTGTTCAGCCAGTCGGGAACTCCGCTGGGATACCAGGCCATCCATTCGAACAGGCCCGGCTCCAGCTTGATCTTGTGCTTGCCCGTGAGCTTTAGCCCCTCCAGAGCACTGGTGCAGGTCTGGATGCAGCGGTACGATGGCGAACAGTAGACATGGTCGATCTGCACCTGGGCCTCAAACAAAGCCTGGCCAATGAGGTTGGCCTGATAGACACCCACATTGGTCAGCGGCGAGTCATTTTGCCAGCCCTCGGGACTGTTCTTTCGACGAGGCAGCGTCTTCGGCATGTTCAGATCCTTCCTCATGTAGTTTCCGAACTCATCGAAGCAGTAGGGAATCCATGTGCCGAAAGTGAAGTCCACGCGCTCGCCATGCCGCATGATGTAGATCTTTCGGTTCTTGGCATGCGAAGCATCCAGCGAACCTGGCTGAAGCGAGTGGTCTGAGTGGACGCTGAGCGTGTCATCCGGACGCGGCGGTTGAGGTGCAGGCGGTTCCACCAAGATCTCGTCCACAGGCTGCTTGGACACGGAGGTGGAGCAGGAAGACATATTGGTCGTTATCTCGATCGTGGGCGTGTTCGGGTTGTGCTGATGGGCCAAGTTGTGGCTATTGAGCAGTTGCACGGAGGGCAGTTCCAGGCAAGGCTTCAGAGTTTGTCGAAGATACTTTTCTACGCTCTGTTCGGATTCCTCAAAGGATGAGCCTTCAATTATCTCGGGATGTGCTGTGTCTGTAGAGGAACAACAAGAAGTGACACATAAGTAATGTATTACTTTGCGAATGTATATTGTACCCCACAATTTCAATGAACACTAATTGGATATTAATTAATTTTAGATTAAGTTTTTATCAATAGGTATCAGGTAACTCTGCAAGAATTGGGTACCTTACTGACCCAGAAATGTTTACATTTTATCAATTATAGATAGTGCAACTCACGCTGACGTTCCTCGGGCTCCGTCGATATGCTGCGTCCGTCCACAATGTCCAGATCCTCGGCAGAAGTCAAGGAGGAGGCCACGCTCTTGGACAGCTGCACCACTCGATGCAGGGTCCAGGCATCCGATTCGGCAGTGCGTTCGGTGTAGTTGACGGGCAGGTGTCCCGTGCTCCCGGTCAACCAGGAGATGCCTTCGGCCCAACCGTCGCTGGAACTGTCCACCACCTCGGTGTTCAAGTAGATATAGTCACCGATGCGCAGCTCGAGTTCATCCGTCTCGTGCGGGTTGTGTGGATAGACGACCTTCTGGACCTACAAAATACAATACGGGGTTAGAACGCATCCTGGATGGGCAGCTAGCAGCTCTAACTTGTTTGGTGGCGAGCCGCGGATCGCGGGAGTATAGACGGAGTTCCCAATTGGAGGCGCAGCTGGCGTCTAGTGTCTCCACGAGTGCTTTCAGTGCATTGAACTGTGCCTGCGGGAACTGGTAGGCAAGCGTCAGGTGCAGGCTCTTTACGTGAGGCTCGAGTGAGATGGCTACGGGTATTCGGAATCTATTAGTGGCCGATCGCTAAGCGGGGCAAACGATTACTGAATGTAAACCAAAGCGGTGCTGCTTATAAGCGTTTGTATCTAGCAGGGTGAGTCGATTTTTTGATAACAATTTATAGTCATGAAAAGCAATGTTTGGGCAATCAAAGCTTCATACATTCATATCTTTGAAAGAATGTTTTTGTGGTGGGAAACTAATAACAATAAAAGATGCTATCTCAAAAGTGAGAGTTATACTAGAATTAAACTACTAAATGAATGGTATATGAAAAGCCACCTATCATTTTTAAGAAGACCCTCAATTTAGCAGTAAATATTTAAAGTACAAAAATTTAAATTCATTAAGAAAAACACAGACTTTGATAGCAAATTAAAAAGGAAAGGAAATTAACTTTAAACATTTAATGCTCTTTATAAGAACCAAACAAATCGACACACCTTGGTATCTACAGCTTTTACTGCAAATAACAATAAACTACAATTAGCAGCGTCATGTCGAATTTTACCAATAGGGTAAATAGATTAGTAAGCTAGTGCAAGTAAGGCATGCTTCGGGTGATAAGAAAGTGTGGGCTCGGGTGAGTCAGATAGGATTTTATGCAAACTAATTGCACTAGCTAATGGCTTACATCGACTGCTGCGCGGAATGCAGCGGGTGCCCGAGGAGACAGCTCCGCACCAGGGGAAGCAGGCCACAATGGCGTCCAACTGCTCATAGGTATCGCTAATGACTGTGCAGCATTACCCAGATTATCCAGATATCCAGAGATTAGTGTGCAGGGAGAGAGGAGAACAACATAACCGTGTAAGCCACTCCGAAAAATGGGAAACCATCAACCGAATCGAATCAAATCGAATCAAACAGAACGTGAAGGGAAACCAAAACAACCCAAAGAGAGTGCAGCAACCAACAGAAGGAAAGTTCGTACTTGAGTTGGACACCTCCTTGACGTACTGCAAGGCCAGTCTCTTCAGATAGTTGGCATCCTCCTCGGCCACAAAGAAGCCCATAAAGTTCTGGCTCATGTAGGGCTCCAGCTTTAGGGGGCGATCCAACAGAGCGCCCGTCATGTCCACCACCTGTTTGAGAGCCTTGGACAGCTGCAGCGAGCACTCATCGGGGGCCTGAAATAGGTGTAGTTTGAGGGAATATAGCAAAAAAGATCCTGCCTAAACTCACCTTAAAAAAGGAGACCAGGGTTATATGTGGAACATAATTGTGGGCTCCATTCCAGCCGCACATTTGGCGCGACTTGGCCCAGAACTCCTCCAACTGCTGCAGAAACGGACCCGTGGGACAGGCATAAATGATGTACTCCCTGGGGGCGCACTCGTCCAAGGTGGCATCGTTGACATGGGCCAGCAGCCAGTCCGAGGCAATCTGCACTCCTCGATTGCCCGTGGAAGCCAAAGCTTTCTCCCTGTGTAGATGCAAACAAAAAAAATCAATACTCTGATTCTCTGAAGCAGCAGCCTGTTTGTGGGTCACCGTCCAAGCGCCAAAGCCTCTATATCTGGGTGGGATCTCACGAAAGCGGTGACCCCCAATTGACTGTATAGAAAACTCACGCCCTATGCCTGGGAAAGCCCATTTGGAGCAATGTTTGGAGCGGCGTCAGATGCTGCTTGGAGATGCAGATCCTCGTGGGCGTCTGACTCTTGCGCGGCGGAAGCGTGGCCATGTCGATTATAGCCTCCTTGTCGACCTTGGAAGACCAACGTTTGGCAGCTTTTGGTTTTTGGTGGTTCTTCAATAATTTTCAGTGATAATTTCAACAAAAATAGGATACAATTCGTTAATTGGCCACACAACACAGTGTTGGCTAACGGTAGCCTGAAGATACGACAAGAACTATCGATAGTTACATCGACTGCACCATCGATAGTCCGCACTGACCAGTAGAGATGAGAGCGATTCTCCTAGCGAGACAACAACAAAATTCACTGCGTAATTAATTTAATATTTTAGTAAAATCGAGGCGCACCACAAAGAAACAACTCGTCGAGTGTTCAATAGTGTTTAAAGTAAGTGTCAGTGGCAAAGGAATAAAGTGAAAAACAAAAGCGCAGCCATAAAAAGAGTGTTACGCAGCTGGCAAAAAGTGCATGGAAAATGCCATTGGAGCCCCACATCAAACATACACATGCACGAAAAAAACGTACACACAAAGGCCCACGCACACCGACGCAAATAGTGCTGTGACGGTGGTGGTAAAGCACAAAAACAAGTTGTTCGTGGACTCCAAAGGGGGCAGAGTAAAAGGAGAAGGTTATCTGTCCACCGAGAAACCAATTTCGCACTATTTTCGATTGCCCCATGGTTACTCCCCCTGCGGTTTTTGCAAATCAAGGAAATGGGCGTTTTCTCTGCTCGGTTTCCTAGCACTCCATGCTGGATGACCTCGTCTTTGTCTGTGCTCTGCGGACTTTCTCCGCTGCAGCAACTAATAAGCAGTGATCACGCTTTATCGCCTCAATGCGGGTGCTTTTTTTCTCCCCCCTCTATTGTTATCACAGTCCAGCGATCACTCATTGAGAATGACTCATGCGTTTGTGTTTATCACTCAGCTCAACGGATCATGGCACCATCTGCGTCATATTGTCTGGTTTTACAAACATTTTACAGCTGTCGCCAGGTTTTGATATTCATAAATTGGATACTAAATACCCCCAAGCAAAAGTTTCTTAAAATAAATTGTAATTGAACGGATTTTTACAAAAAAATATCTTGCAATCTGTTTAAAACGTCTCGCAATCCTAGTATTAACAACGTGAATTTTCAAACCATCTTTACCAAGCACTAAGCCGAGATATCGGCAGATGGACTCTGTCCAGATTGATCAATATATTTGAAAGCATAAGATTACACTTTTAATCCACGACTAATTTTTTTACCTGTTTAATCGAATTAAAGAAAATCGTAAAGGTATTTTTAACATCCAATCAATACCTTTCTTTGTCTGCAGCGCCAAAGCCAAAAGAGAGACCCCCAAGTAAGCCAACCCCACAAAATACATCGAAATGTCAGGCCGTAAGAAATCCCTGCTGAAAGTCATCATACTTGGCGACAGTAGTGTGGGCAAGACTTCGCTCATGAATCAGTATGTAAACAAACGCTTCTCCAACCAATACAAAGCAACAATCGGAGCGGACTTCTGCACGAAAGAAGTGGTGGTCAACGACCGTGTGGTCACAATGCAGGTAAGTTTTTAAGAATTGGCAAAACCAAATTAATCAGTGACTAAAACCCTACAACTCTGTTGACAGATCTGGGACACTGCTGGTCAGGAACGGTTCCAGTCGCTTGGAGTGGCGTTCTACCGCGGCGCCGACTGCTGCGTGCTGGTCTACGATGTGACGGCTCCCAACTCATTCAAGAATCTCGACTCGTGGCGCGACGAGTTCCTCATACAGGCCAGTCCACGCGATCCCGAGCACTTCCCCTTTGTGGTGCTGGGCAACAAGGTGGACCTGGACAACCGCCAGGTGTCCACGCGTCGGGCGCAACAGTGGTGCCAATCGAAGAACGACATACCCTATTACGAGACGTCCGCCAAGGAGGGCATCAACGTGGAGATGGCGTTTCAAGTCATAGCCAAGAATGCGTTGGAGTTGGAGGCGGAGGTGAGTAGCCCCTTTCAACATGGTTATCCTACATTAAGACTAATATCTCAACCCCGCACAGGCTGAGGTTATCAACGATTTCCCCGATCAGATCACCTTGGGTTCGCAAAACAATCGTCCTGGAAACCCTGACAACTGTCAGTGCTAATCTAACAACGCAGCCTGAAGAATCACACAATTTATATTATTAAATAATATTTCCAACATAATAATGAACATGAGAAGCAAATAACACAAAGGACGACGGAGGAAAGTGTTCTATGATTAAGTAAAACAATTTCAGCAAAACAGCATAGTAATTAATTAATTGATAGGATGCAAAGTTCAGATTCAGTTCAACATCAGCAGACTCTAAACTCGCCTCTGGCAAGGGCTTTACCAATACACCCAACTTTCTAAGCCCTAAGTAAACCGTTCAATGAATATGTATGCTCTGTGTACTCGTATTTAATAACTCATGTTTCTGACCGCCCGCCTATCTCCCTAGTACTATTTTTGCCATTGTATTAGTCAAATTTTGCACGCAACGCTGCTGGCTTTTGCAACAGAACAGCAACATTAAGAATACAACAACAGAGTATCTTCAAAACAAACAAAAAAATCTTGTGATTGTAAATTTAATAAAAAAAATAACTTTTATAATGTAATTAAGGACATAATTTCCTGCACTACCAAATTGGCAACTCAATCGTAATTGGCTCAGCTCCACACAACTCTCTTTTGCAAAACATTCGAGCGTGAATTTTGTTTAGTTATAACGTTACTCGATATATCCTATAACTATTAATAGTATTCCATGTAAAATTTCTCCTTGTTTTGGTAATACATATATGTAAATTGCGTATATTTGGTATGTACTTTATTCCACTGAATTATTTTTTAAATTTTCATGCTTTGTGGTTTAGTTTAAAAAATAAACAATGAAAAATTTACAGTAATTAATTAAGCTAACAATGGTTTTTTTGTCGCGGGTTTCAATCATTTTGTACCACTGTGGGACAGTTGCAAACTAGAGACATATAGTTGTCGATAACACTGCACTGTTAGTTAACATTCTTCTGGAAAAACATCTGCGACTGTTGTCTTTTAACTAGTGTAGATTATTTATTTTATCCTCTTGAATGTCGCATACTTCACCTGATTTCCCGCCTCCTCCACCTCCACCACCTATGGTGGTCCGGTCTGGAGCACCTGCTGCAGCAACTGAAGATCCTGTTGTAGGCAATATAACCACCGACGAGTGTAGCTGGGCCTGGGAGTACCCCGAAGTGCAAAAGGGCTGTTTCTTAGGTCGTGTTTTCGAGAATGCTCCCCCAAAACACTGCCAATATTACTCCGTTAAGAGCATTGTCCAGGTTTGTTAAGAAATTTAGCTGTTTAATAGTTTTCAAATTAAAATGATTCCATTATCTAAGGTTGGCCCCACCTGCGGACTGACGGCCTTGAGCATGTTGCTTGGTGGTCATCCGCCGTCGGCGGATCTTCTAAAGGATGCCATTGCCCATGAGTACACCTTAAATGGAGAATTATTTAGTGCTCAGTATTTGTTCGAACTCACCAAAAAACACATGCCAGGACCTGCCGCATGCCAGCTTCATGTGGGTCCTCTGAACTGCAAAAAAGTTAAGGAGCTATTGAAGGCCGGAGGCTGCCTTCTAGTACCGTATCCTTTTTACAAAATATTTACTTAATATGATATTTGTGTTTTTGTGATCAAGATATTGACTCTATACCAGACCTGACTTTGAAATTATAGCTTAAATTCGGTTATTTCACACTTTTAAAACCGCAGGCGCTTAACAGCACTTTTTGACGGTTAACAGCACACTGCTGACTGCCAGTGTTGTAAACTCGCGCACGTTTTCTGCTAAAAATTATAAACAGGCGTTTTGATTTTTGCAGAATATTTATATATTGCTATTCAATTTGTAAACAAGTGAAAATTTCATAAGCAAATGGGCGACGAAACAGAGCAGGTAATACAAAGCTAAGAAACATTAGATATTATGCCTAATTCCTTACCTTACAGCTTAGCCAGGTGATTCTGCCGGTGAAAGAGCCCTTGGATCTCATCCGGTTGAGTTTGGATGAGAAGGTGTATGTCAAGATGCGCAACGAACGGGAACTCCGAGGACGTCTCCATGTAAGTTGGATTCTCTTTCTTTAAACAGACAGCTAACCTGCAGGATAAATATTTCCCCAGGCCTTCGATCAGCATCTGAATATGGTGCTGGGCGACGCGGAGGAGACGGTGACCACCGTGGAAATCGACGAGGAGACCTACGAGGAGGTGTACAAGACCGCCAAACGTACTATTCCCATGCTGTTTGTAAGAGGCGATGGAGTCATCCTGGTTTCGCCTCCCATGAGAGTGGGCTAGCAAGTCCCCTTGCTCAGTTTTAAGTGCAATCGCCTGCATTTATACAAACTGTATCTGTATAGGTTAATAAAAATCTTTAAAACATAACCATTGTTATTTTTATCATAAGCTTATGTATATTCAAAAGTTTTTAACAAACACTCAATCTTTATACCTTTGGGATATCCGTACATCAGAGGTAAATTATAACACAAAGTTATGATGCAGATGTCAACCATGTGCCCTGTCTGAAATCCGGACACCGAGCTCATTGGGCTTTGATTGTGGGCTACCTGGTGGACATGCAGGAGCAGGTGAGGAGTCAATGATATAAGCTTATATCCAACATTAATGTATAACTTTTCCGCAGTACTATGTCTTGGCCCGCCACGGTAAGACCCGGAATCTGGCCGTCTGGTCACTGGACATGCTCAGCCAGAGCAATGCCAATCTGCTGGAGTTTGCCCAGCCCAAGGGCTATCCGGATAATGACTTTCTGCTGCCACCGGGTGGAATTAGTGGTCCTCTGGGCCTTAACGAGCGCTCTATTCTAGTCAACGGCCTGCCACAGCCGATGCAATATGTGCGCTGATCCTACATACATGTGTTCAATAAAGAGTCTTGATCATTTCGTATTTAACTTTAATATATTTAATAGTACAATTTTAAATTACACGCCTTACAATATTTCACTTTGCAACGCAATCAACGCACCAGTTCAAACACCCTTCCATCTTTCAGTTCAAAATGGGGAAAACACGCAGAGTTTTGGTATTTAATCGGTTCGCAACTACTACGGGGTAACGAATGCGATTTTTGGGGGAATAAAATATAATATACATTAATGATATATATCGAACTGTCTCCTGCTAGTGCCTGCTGTATATATATTTATGTATACATGTATAAATTTACGCTTGTCCGCCTTTGAAATTTCAAAAATCACAACAATTAGAGTAGTAGACATGGTTTGTATATGGTTGATTAGATAGGTATACTATGTATAGTATGTATTGTATATAATTTCACACACAGATATTTTTCTGATTTAGGTAGTACATAGACGACGGGCTTGGTTAAATATGTAAAGTTTTTAGTATGCTGCCCAACATTTAGATACTTTTGATAGGTTGTTGGCCAGACGGGAGCAACGATTTTGAGATCATGGGGCCTAATGCTCCCGATTTCTTGGGTACTGTCGGTCTAGATTCTAGAGAATATGTATGCTAGGACATGCCAACAGGCAGGAGCAAAGTGTCCATTGAAACTCTTGAAACGGTAACTACAAAGTTTGCTTTTAGTTCTAGGCCTTCTTATACAGGATATTTTGATACGCTTCGTTCATCCTTGACGAGTTTATAATTACTTTAAGTTTATCGATAAGCTGGTTGTGTCTGTTTGTCTGTCTGTGTCTGATTGCGGGTCGAAAGTATCTTATAAGTTCACAAGTTGCATGCGGAAATAAACTTAAATAATCGTTACAGGCTAACGGTTTATTAACTAAAAATTTACAAACACTAATTATAAATAAATTATCATTCTTTTCAGTTTTATAATATTTATTGCCGCGCAAGTGACTGGCTCCCTTGCTCCAAGCACATTTCAGTTTGTGTCTGTTTATCTGTGTGTTTTTTTTGTTGGGGTCGTCGGGGTGTCCCGTGTGAGCTTGTGGGTTAAAATGACTAGGATAATTCAGCACAGGACATGGGAGTGCAGCCAATAAGCGCAATGGGGAAGTTCTTGACGTGCGTTTGCCATTGCGACGATACTTGGAAGAACTTGACTCCCGTCCACTCGGTGCCATCGATGTACACTGCAAAACAGAAGAGGGGACTTAGAGGAATCTAACTTTAGCTGCGAGTGGTTATCACTCACCTCTCAGTGGCACTGGATGCGATTGCTTGGGTGAGCAAATCAAACGGGCCACGCCCTCCACACATTGCTCCTTCTCGAGATCACGCTCCTTATCCTTTTTCTTGCCTAAGCGCATAACTGAAAGGGATAAGCAGTGAGCTGGGTCAACTAAATCATCAGCAAAGATCAACTTACTCTGCTTTTGCTTCTTTTCCTTGGTGGCGAAACTAACAGTCAGTCCATTGAACATATCACCCAATTGCTGTGCATGCTGTGGCAATCGCCACACCTGCAGGTTCCTAAACGTACTCTTAATGCTATTCTTGCCGCCGGCGTCACTGCCCTTGGACATGCCGCTTTTTGACTCCTTGGCATGCACCTCGCCCGGCCGCACAAGTGGCCAGTAGTCCACCTGGAGCTCGACCGCCTCCGCCGCCGCCAGAGCTCCACTGAAGGTTTGCTGCTGCAGCGACGACGGCGTACTCAGCGATTCGCTGGTGTTGCGCTCCCGATGCGAGGTTGCGGATGACGGTGGCGTCTGTAGGGGCGGCGAGATGCGTCCCAAGCTTTGCTGCTGGGGCGGCGATCCGGACACCACGCCATGCACATTCGGCGAACTCTGGCTGCCGATGGGGATGGCTGAACTGGAGGCAGATCCGGAGCCCAGTCCAGTGGCGGCCGCGTTGGAGCCAGCTGTAATCTCCTCAAGATCCAGTGAAGCTTGGGCGTCCAGATATCCAATGCGAACGTCCTGTAGCAAACAGGATCGTTTAATAATTTAAAGTCGATTAATTTATTTCGCTACTTACACTAACAAACGGCACAAATATCTGGCAGGAATCCTCATCCTTGTAGTTGACCATGGCCTCGGCGATGGGTATCTGTGTGCAGGGTCCCGCCGCAAGCAGATATCGCTGGATGCGCTGCACCAACTCCGCGATGTCCGACTTGGCAACGCCGGCCGCATCCGCCAGGTTGGTCGTCAGGGCCGTGGCATTCACCGTGGTCACCGCACTGACCGCTGCCGCTGTGGCCGCCGCCCTCTCACACAGCTGCGCCCAGTTGTCGGAGCCGAACATGACCGCATAGGCCTGATCCATCTGGCTGAGGTGACGCGCCACACTGCCGCAGCTGCCGCCGACGGGCACCAGGTAGAAGCGCAGGTGATTCAGCCAATCTGGGGGCCGCACTCCCATCAGTTCCACGTAGTGCCGCAGGGTGGCTCCCTGCAGCCAATCTCCTCCAATCAGCAGCACCTTGACGGTGTGCGGTGGCTTGGCGTTCGAGTTGCAACTAGGAAAGGCAACGCAGTTCATTAGGTATTTCAATCTGATGACGGAACGCAAACACTTACTACTTCTGGATCTTGGCCATGAGCGCCTGCAGCACCGCCTTGACCTCGGCGGTGTTCTGCGGCACGAAGGCCGGCTTGAAGGAGTTCGCAAAGAGCGTGACCAGCTTGGCCAGCAAGGCGCTGCCACCCAGCGCCTCCGGCGGACTGATGATGGTCACCACCTCCGGTATGGCGCTGTCCTCGCCGGCGAACACGCGACTCAACTGGTCAAGCAGCAGCTTGCGTGGCTCCACGTTGGTGGGCGAGAGGCAAGTTTCCAGCATGGATCTCGGCTCGGAACTCAGGCTCAAGGTATGCTTCCTTTTGCCGCCTCCTGAAGCGCTAATGGCATTGGCACTGTTCCCTGCACTTCCTGTGATTCCCGGAGTGTTGCTGGAGGTCCGGAACAATCTCGATCGCTTTTCCGTCTGAGCGGGCGTTGGAACGCTGCCACTTCCCAAACTGGCGGCCACCGAGCTCACTGGGGTCAACTGCTGCTGCTGCTGTTGCTGCATCTGCTGCAGGCGCATGTAGTCCTTGTCTCTGGGCGGACTGTTCTGCGGATCTGAATTCTGGCCATCCGTATAGCCAGCATTGCCTTCGTTGCCGGAGCTATCGTTACCCCCACGATCTGTGAGGAGCATAAAAGAGATAAGAGGATGGTTAAAAGGGTAAAGTCAGGATATGAATGGTTATTTAGCACGGGTCAGCATAATGGCGTTGGTTTGTCGGAAAAATTACAAAAGAATGCTTCAGCTTTATTAAGCCGTTTAATAGTTAATACTTATGGACGTTATTTATCGATTTAAATTCGCAATTGTTATTAAAAACTCTATAGCTTTATAAATTTTCTTAGCATTTTTTAAAAATGTCTCGAGATTGTTTTTCATAATTTTTCCAAAGACCAAACCATTATGATGTGACCTCAGGTGAGAGAAGTGGTCTGATGAGGGAGGGTGTGAAACTGGGGGGGGCACAAGACATGCGGAGACCAAACAAGACAAGATAAACAGAATCGTGAGACCGAATGGCGGCCACAAATAGTCGGTCCCGAAATAGAACGCCCCTGCGAAGAGTTTCCCAGTCCAAGGAGCACCGTGTAAATAAATAATAAAAACGCGGACCGAAAATATAATTAAAGCTTTCTTTATTTTATGACCATGAATGGGGTGGGATAAAGGTGGGGGAAGTGGCCACATATTTCTGAGGCAGAAATTTCCGGCTTGACGTGCTTGAATTTTCAAAGCCATGCGCCGATTAATCAAAAAAAACGCACGACACGTAAATAAAGTGAAAGTGAAGGAAAAACAAAAAGAAAAAGAAAAGGGGGAGCAAGTCGGGAGAACAAACAAATCCAAGAATTCATCAAGTGAATGGGGCGGGACAGGCGGCATAGGGCTGTTATTAAGGGTGTTGTTCTCGGGGGTCTGGTCTGACGACCATGTCGGGACTAATTGGAAAACCGCTTCAAGTGCGTCGAAGGTTCAATTGTCATGCCACAGACTCGCACACAACTTCACACATGCTAGGGACATTGGCTTCTTTTGGGGCAAAGAGCTAGTAAGTTTATTTTAAGACCCCACAAACATGCACCTCAGCTAGGTATACTATACACAAACGATCAATGAAATTGACGCACAAATCAAAGATTTCCCGTAATCCCATCCCACATTTTGAAGCATGCAAAGGTGCAGAGCGGTGTGGTGCAACAACTTAAGTAGAAACAAAGCATACGTTTACATTTACAGTGTACTTGTGGCATTATGTGGCTGTGTAACTGTATGTGTGCGTGGGCTGTGCGTGAGTGTGGGGCAAGGCAAGGGATTTGGGGAATAGCCTCTTTGAAATATTAAAAAGCTTCCTTTAATCCTGAGAACTACGTTCTTCTGATTCACAAAACTAAGTTTTTTGTTTACATAATTTTCAAAGATCCAAAGTCCGAAAGAGGCTTCTATTAGAGTTAAAAACGACTATTTATTATAATATTTATATATTTGAAAAAAATCTATTTTTTTAATATTTCAGTGAGGCGTAATAACGATCAGAAGAGGAGTCAAACGTATTTGGGTATTTCTGAATGGACAATGTATGTATCTGATTGATGTTGTTTAAAAACAAACTGGACACGGAATTGCAGAATGCTCTATAGATTATTATGATTGGGATACGCACAACTGTTTGTGGTCTCATTTTCGGTGTTATTATTTCGGTGGTATGCAAGTCGTGTGTAATATTTCTATAAATTTTGATTTGGGGGTGTTTGGGGTAATTTTTTTTTTCGATTTTGCTGTAATGTACACAGACCTGGTGTTGTTGCCGAATTGTTATTGTTTGTTAAATGAATGCTTTTTTGGTTTTTGTTATTTTCAAGATTGTAAGATGAATTGGTCAATTGGTCGCTCTTATCCGATGATCGGCGCTCAGAGTTGCCTGCAAGAGAGATTTGTT